AGGTCACCCGGCGGCCGGCGGAAAGAGGGGCGGCGGTGCCCGACGCTGACGACACTACTCGTTCTACTCTCATCCCACTCTCCTTCTACAATTCCCCTCGGCCATGCCCGCCCCATACAAGCTCGCCTTCTCCCTGCATGGGCACGCTGCCGATGTGCGCCACGTGGCCACCCCGAACCCGGCCATCCCGCTCCTCCTCTCCGGCTCCCGGGACGGCTCCGCGCTCGTATGGGGCCCGTCCAGCAAGTCCCGGGAGTGGGACGTCAAGCTGAGGGTGGAGGGCCCCGAGAAGCGCTATGTGAGCTGTGTCGCACTCACAAGCTGGAACGGCACAGCGTACTTGCTGGTCGGATCGCAGTCCGGTATACTCGCCAGCTACCCGCTGCCCTCTCCAGCCTCAGCTCCCCCCTCAGAAGACGTACTGCCCGAGCCAGTCCACACGCTCATCGAACACTCGCAAAACCTGTGTTGCATCGACGTCAGCCAGGACGGGCTCATCGCTACCGGATCATGGGACAAGTGCGTCTCCCGTCTTCCCTCCTAAAGCACCCACTAACCCCCAGCAGGAGCGTCATTGTCTGGAAAGACTTTAAAAAGGCCGTCTCTATCAAGGCCCACGAACAGGCCGTCTGGTCTGTCAAGTTTGTGGGCGAAGACCGTCTCCTCACAGCTTCCGCCGACAACAAGATCATCCTCCACTCTCTCGACGTTGCCTCGGGTAGATCGACGCCTTTGCAAACTTATACCGGGCACACTCAACCTGTTCGAGGATTGGCTCTGAGACCTGATGGGCAAGGATTCTGGAGCTGTTCGAATGATGGGTAGGTCACATTTAGCCTTCCAGTCGACTTGCTTATCTTGGGAATAGCAACATCAATATCTACTCTTTCGACAAGCCCGCCCCTATGAACACCCTCTCTGGCCACACATCCTTCGTCTACTCCATCACCGCCCTCCCCGACGGCAGCGGCGCCATCTCCACCGGCGAAGACGGCACCATGCGCGTCTGGTCCGACTCTGAACTCCTCCAAACCATCCCCCACACATCCAACTCTCTCTGGTCCTGCACTACCGCCCCGCCCCCGCCTTCCTCCCCTTCCTCTGGACCGTATATCGTCTCGGCGTCGGAAGACTCTACCATCCGGTTCTTCACCAACTCGCCAGAGCTTGTGGCGCCAGAGGAAGAGCTGGGCGTTTGGGATGGAGAGGTGAAAGGGCGGCAGTTGGATAAGAGTCAGGTGGGGGATGTGAAGCATTCGGATTTGCCTGGTATCGAGGCTTTGGGGCGGGAGGGCAAGAAGGATGGGCAGGTATTGATGATCAAGAACAATGGTCAAGTTGAAGCTTACCAAGTAAGCCCCTCACCTTCCTCCACCTCGGCTTCGGGCCTCATGCTGACTCTCTACCCAGTGGTCTGCCCCGGAATCCACCTGGCAACAAGTCGGCCAAGTCGTCGACGCCATCGGCCAATCCCGCAAACAACTCTACCAAGGCAGAGAATACGACTACGTATTCGACGTCGACGTCTCTGAAGGCATGCCCCCCCTCAAACTCCCCTACAACACCGCTCAAAACCCCTGGATCGCGGCGCAAAAGTTTTTGGAGGACAATGAACTGCCGGGGAGTTATTTGGATCAGGTGGTGCAGTTTATAGAGAAGAATACGAAGGGGGAGACGTTGGGTGGGGGAGAGGCGCAGGGGTATGTGGATCCGTTTACGGGCGGGTCGAGGTATACTGGCGGGGGAGTGCCGATGGCCGGGGGGCAGGCTAACACTGGGGATCCGTTTACGGGTGGATCGCGATACACCGGAGGCGGCGTCCCGACCCATACGCCTTCGTACGGCGGGGGCGACCCATTCACCTCTTCCGGTGCATACTCCTCCACCCCTCAGCCTACATCTACAACCCCCGCAGCGAAAAAGCAAAAACAAGGTGTCTTGCCCGTCAAGTCCTGGCTCGCGTTCAAGCAAATCAACGTCGCCGCCGTCAAGGGCAAAGTAGCCCAATTCAACGAAGAGTTGAAGGGTACGGATGCCGAGTTGACGACGGATGAAAACAAGGCCTTGACGGAGGTGTATGCTTTCCTCTCGCTGCCTTCTGTGGCGCTGCCGAATCCCGAAAGCAGGAACGGACTGGAAAAGTTTGATCCCAACACGTTGACGGGGATCATCTCGCGATGGCCAGAGGAGAAACGGTTCCCGCTTTTCGACCTCCTCCGAGCGCTGTCGGCTACTTCTCCAGCGACTTCTGCGCTGTCTCCTGCCATCTTTACCCAGACTCTGCAGGCATCTTCTGGCGCCGCGCTGTCAAAGCCGCAGGATACCAACCTCCTCCTCACCCTCCGCGCCCTGGCCAACAAGTTCAACACCTCCTCCGGCCGAGGCGTGCTGAACCAAGTAACCACCGGCCAGCAAGTGCTCACTGCTCTCGGCGGGATCTCCTGGCAAAGCGCGGGGAAAAACAGCCGATTGGCTGCTGCCACCGTCGCCCTCAACTACTCCATCTCTGCCCAGCTCTCACTCCTCCCTCCGTCCCTCGCGCCGCTGCTGCTCGAGCTTGTCATCGCGATCATTGAGACGGAAAAGGTGGAAGGAGGCGATACGGAGACGGTCTACCGCGCGGCCGTTGCGTTTGGCAACTTGATTTCGGCGGAGAAGGTGAGCGGTGGGTTGGCGGTGGGCAAGGTGGAAGAAGGCAGGGCGGTGGTGAAAAAGTGGATGGGGAAAGAGCCGAGGTTGGGAGAGCTGGGAAGGGAGATTGAAGAAAAGCTCAGTCAGGGGTACGCAGTGTAAACAATTGAAAACATGCCAACCAGTCAGATGTCCTTATAGATGTGAATGCAGAGGGTATGGCTTGGATACATATATGCAGGGTATACAACAGGTCCTGGGAAAGGGAAACTGTGAAAACAAATCTCGAAAGCTAATCTCGCTTTCTTTTATCCAACTAAATCTCGCCCGAGACAGTAGCCTAAGCAGCCATAGCAGCTACAGCAGCAGCGGCACTCCTCTCCATACCGGTAGTGTTCTCCTTGGCACCGAGCGAGTCGAGGGGGTTGAACTGCTCGGTAGAGTTTTCGTATTCCCACATGTCGAGGGCGACTTGACAAGACTCTCTGACGACGGGGGGAGCATCGGCCTTGACAGCCCACTCTCTCAACACCTGCAGCACACCGCCTTCAGGCAGCTCCTCGCCCTCTCCCTCGCCTTCTTCAGGGTCCACACCGTCAGACGCGATACCACCAAGCGCCTCAGCAGCCTCGTGTCGGACCATATCGTCTTCGACAGGATCCCGCAGCCTCTTCAGCAGACTGGGAACACTGTACGGCGAACTGAGTTGACCGAAAATGTATGCAATTTCGTGTCGGAAGAGGGCAGAGCCGTCGGAGAAGCCTTGGGCGAGGGCGTGGACCGCCTCTTTGGAGCCGGATCCATAGTCGCGGAGGGCAAACATGGCACGATAGCGTTGGAAGAGGGGAAGCTTGGGGTTGAGGAGCTCGGCGGTAAGGGAAGGGATGTCGGCGGCCTCGGCAGAAGGCGCGGGATCGATGGTAGGGTAGTCGGGGCTGCTCTTGTCAGCTCGTGTATAGTTGCAAAGATAGAAATGCTTACTTTTGCTTCCTCGCCTTGCCCTCTTCACTGAGATCAAACTCGATCTTGCCGACAGCAATCTCGCAAGTCTCCCTGACCTCCCTGTTCGCCTCCTCATCCCTGTACTTTCTCAAGATGGGCAAGCTTTCCTCGGCACCGATAGCGCCGAGAGCTTCGGCGGCTTCGTGACGGACCATGGCGCAGTGCTCGCCGGTGGAGTTGGCGAGAACGGCCGAGAGAGTCGGGAGGGCTCGGTGGTTGAGGAGCTGGCCGAGGACGTAGGCGAGCTCGTGCTTGAGAAGAGGCGAGGGGTCTTTCAGGCCTTCTCTTTGGTCAGCATAGCTCTCCACTACCATAGAGACACGCACCCTCGGACACGATATCGACGACCTCATCAGTGCCGACAGCCTTGAGCATGAAGAGAGCTCTGAATCGCTCGTGGAGCGGGGTGGTGCCCGCCGTGTTGAGGAGGGTGTCGCGCAGCTGCGACATTTGCTCTGGGGTGACTTGGACGGACATGGCGGGAGTATAGCGGGTTCAAGAAAAAAAGGCGATGAAAGAGGAGAGTGAAATTTCAGGCGCTTGGCGGGGTGGCGGTTGGGAAAAATCCTTATTCCTTATCTGATTACACGTGGCATTGTTGATTTTCTAATGTTTGTTGTATTGATTACCTTATAGAACGAGGTGAAAAAAGAACGGCTGCCTAAAACTTAATGCGATTGAAAAGCAACCAAAGGAAAAGATCTTTGCCAGCTGTATGTACAGGGTCAAAAGGCCGATAAGAGACAAAAAGCAAAAAGATGATCCCGGGCGGGATCGAACCGCCGACCTCCTGTGAAGAGCAAGGTAAACTTGTTAGACAGGTATGGTGACCAACTCCATCACGTGACCATGTACCGCTGTATTACACCAGCTTGTTGAGAGTCAAGCAAACATGTTGATTTATCTCAACGCCAGCACATCGACAAGGGCAAAAACGCTCAGCTATAAGTTCGCCCAATACATACTGTACACGGATTGAACGAGAGACAGATGAAACACTGTGATGATCAGGAACATGCGAAAGGATGTCTCTTAGACGCTCAGCCATGCTGAAAAGCTATACGACAACCAAAAGTTGAGGAATGATGGAGGCTGGACCGACTCCTTGTCGCTGTTGTGTACTCCTCCTCGATAGTACTCGTAGTGGCAAGGTCGATATCAAAAACGTAGGGATGTGACCCCAGCATCGATTATTGGGCACAGCTGATAGTTTCGATGCCCTTCTATAGAATATCATCTATACTGTCTACCGGTCGCGTATGATGGCGTTGTGTGAGGTGATGGTCGATTTTATTCAGATGCATCCTTCCTCTGTGCACTTTCTGAACATGGTTATGTAAACTTGTGACATTTCATCATCAGTTGCCTTAATCCACGCCAGCTCCACTGAGTGCTCTGTTCAAGTTGAAAGCCGCTGAAATCAGAGTGACATGTGAGAATGCTTGAGGTGTGTTCTATATCCGAGTAGATCAGTGACTCGTCTCTCGAGATGGAGATGAGGAAGGTGAAGGGAAAACTTACCCCCAAGCCTTCACCGCCTGCGCTGATCTCCTCAGAGTAGAGCCCGATATGATTACCATACCCCAAAAAGTCCATGAACATATTCACCCTGCCCATCGTCAGTATCGCACTAGATCGGTGATATCTCAGGCAAGGTAAAGCACTCACGCGATGTCCAAGTACTTTTCGTTATAGACACCCGCTCTCGTCAAGGCCTCCACGCACCATAGCGTGCACAACGAGAAAGCCCCTTCCTCGCCGCCAACACCGTCGTCGGAAAGTGCAGTGTTATAGCGATAGACGGAAGAGTTGGCTGTGAGACCGCCTTTCTCGGGTCTATCCTGCGAGTTAGCTCGAGTTTGGGAAAAGATATGAAGACAATTACGTTTTGAGGATGGCATCCAGGGTGCTGGTGAAGCGAGGATCGGCGGCAGAAGTGAAAAACACCAGAGGCATTATCACTATCACACAAGTCGTCAGCAAATGATCATACCATAAAGTGGAACGATACTGACAGACAGAAGAATCTAAAGCGTCCAGATCCTCAAAGCTCTGTGCATAGAACTTCTTCTCCGGGCTAGCCCCTCATCAGTACTCACCCCCAACAGGGAAACAAGATAGACTCACTTCCATCCCTTGTTCTGCACATCCTCATACAACTTGTCTCTCGTGTCCATCCACTTTTGTCGTTGAGGACAAGGCAAACAGCGTTTATCGGCAAGACGGATACCGCGGTCGATAGCGACCCACATCATGACTTTTGAGTAGAGGAAATTCTTCCTCTTCCCACGAACTTCCCTATAATCGAGAGTCAATATGGGGGAAAGCGTATCGTGGACAGAAGAGACGTACCAGATGGAGAGGTCCTCGACTTCCGTTTGGGTGCAAACGTAATCCACGACTTGTCTGATTGCGACCCAAGAGTCCCAGCTCTAAGCATGACCATTAGCTTGCAACCCCTTCTCCTTCCTGTATAAGACTTGCAAGAGGTTTACTATGCTTCTGCGCGAGGTAGATACAATCCATCAATTCGCCATAGATATCCTGAGGCACAGTTAGCCAGCTGTTTAGTATCGTACCAAGTGAACAGAGGACGCACGAGTTGGAGATGGTCGGCGGCGCCATTCCCAATACGCACAGGCTTGGAGCCCTTGTGCCCTTCCAGATGCGAGAGCTCGATTTCTTCAAGGTCTTTACCTCCGTGGATTGTATACACGCTTTCCCACTCATCAGCTCGATCATGCTTTATGGATGAGAGAGACGTACATTTGCAAAGACCCATCCGAGTTTCGCTCTTTCAGCCTGTTCAAGATAAACTCGACAAATGCATTTGCCTCTTCCGTAAAGCCCATACGGATGAGGGCGTAGAGCGTGAAGGATGAGTCGCGGACCCAGGTGAAGCGATAATCCCAGTTACGGACGCCGCCGATGTGTTCGGGGAGGGAGAACGTGGGGGCTGCGACGATGGCGCCGGTCTCCTCGAAGACGAGCATCTTGCTGGTGACTCGTGTCAGCTAGAGCTGTTTGGTGAAGAAGCAAGTAGCTTACAGGACGAGGGCGGAACGGAGGAGCTCTTCGCTCCAACGGCCTCGGTACTGATTTTTTCCAATCCATCTTCGCCAATACGTGTTGGTGTTTTTGAGAAGGGATTCTACGAGAGACTATAGGAGCTGGTCAGCATAGTCAAAATATCCAGAGATACCCACGAACCCTGGTCAGAACCGGGTTCTCCTTGTGTCTCAGCTTGTTGGTAGCTTCCAGCATCTGGTCCAATGGCAGCCCGAAATCCTTCTGCCTCATCGATCTCGGATTCGCAATCTCCTCATGCTTCTCACTCTCATACTTGTAGTCCCCCACTTCTCTCAGCACAAAAACGACAGTCTGTCCTTCCTCGAGCTCGAAATTGGAAGTGACGGAAGGCCCGAGGAGGCCGCGAGACTCTTGAAAGTCTTCGATGTTGAAAGTGACTTCGGGATCCGAAACGCACGAGTCGGAAGACCAAGCGATGGTTCGAAGGTCGAGCACCAGGTTGGGCGAGGTAAAGAGCGCTTTTGTAGGCTGGGTCGCGAGGGACGCGGAAGAGTCGTCTGGAACCATCTGCTTTGTATCAGTTCCTGTCTTTTTCTTCTGGCGTAGAGTAATCACAGTAGTGGTATGCTTGTCTCGACAGTAGTTGAAGGCGGGTGAACACTCCATTCTGAAGGGCACCTTGCCGCGGATACTCTCCACCTTCCTGATGAGCCAAGGCAGGTGAGGCTTTTGCGAAGACTGGGATGCTCCCTTGGGTACGAGGAAGTCGGTCATCACGCCGACGCCCTGTTCGCTGAGAAACTTGGTGACTAGCACATTCGAGTTGGGGGCATAGGCTTGTTTGCTATGAGATCAGGTGAGCGTAGATTTGCTAAGACTCAGAGATGGCGTACGGCTTGAAATCAAAGGTACTGAAAGGACGTCAGTACTTGTTATGGCGACCAGACAAGGACTCACGGGGTGATGCAGAAATGTCCGCCCTTGTTGGCATCGACGATTCTTGCGAAAACACTTTGGATACCCGTGTGAGCGTCGATGAGAACCCTGAACGAGACAGGACCCACCTGGGAGAGTCAAAGTACGGGATACACATAGACTCGATAGAGCCATTTGTGCTGACCAGCGCTGCAGTCTACACTCCCGTCAGCAGTGGCATAGTGAATGCTACATGGACGTACCCGCAAGTTTCCAATGAGCGCATGATCCTAAAGACGTTGTGGTCAGTTTGAACTGGGGGAATCGGTATTGGGGCGGACCTGGATGCCTGGGATGGGGATGCCGAGCTTGTCGACGGTGGAGTGGGGGTCTGTGGGCATGGTTCTTGTAGATGGAGAAGAGAAGAGATGGATGCATCCATCTACTCTTCACTCCCTGCAGACGTCACCATCTCGGAGTCCGTTGGTCGGGGACGGAGTCGCCGGAGATCGCATGTGGAGGCAGTGCCTGGGAGAGATATCGGACATAGCCGCCTATTGACGTTCTCTTCCACCTCTCTATCCACCGCGACGATGCCAGGACGGACAGCTGAGGACGTCCTCCTCGCACCAGACACCCGACGTGCACCCGTCTCACGGCCCACAAGCCCCGCCCGCCACCACACCATCCCACACCCCGCACCACACCGCCCACCAAAGATAGAGATCAATGCCACAGCTCGCCCCCCGTCCCCAGCCCTCAGATCCGCTCCCGCCGTGCTGCCCATGCCTACAAGGAAGAAGAGCGTACAGATGCCGCTGACTGCAAACAGTCTCAAGTGGGTGTCATCGCGCGAGGCAAGGGGTTTGTGCTGATCATTGTAGTCCGCTGGAGAGGGAGATTGAGCGACTGACGGCTGCTTGTGATGAGCATGAGCGAGTCATCCGGTCGACACTTGTACGACCATGGCGAGCACAGTCACCACATGCTGACCCATCATAGTCGACTGTCCGACATCACCTCTTGACAAACATGCAAGGCGTTCTCGAGCGCGTGGCCAAGACAGACGACGATGCAGAGGTTGGTCTGCATACATATACCTCTCTGTACATGGCTGAGATGACAATTCAGGGCGTGACAGCCGACATCCAACAAGCTCTCCAAGTCTACATCCCCGCCTTCCAAGACAAGCTCCGTCAAACCCTTCGACACCGCGCTGAAGATGTGGAAACCATGCGTGAACGCACGACCCCCTGGCGGGACGTCGTCGTTGGTGGTAATGCGTCTAGTCAAAAGCAAAGTGGCGAAGCGGAGCAAGGGACGTTGGCTAGTGGAGGGAGAAAGCTGAAGAGGGTGGAAGATGGGGGGAAGGGCGATGCTTTGACGAGGGTGGAGATGTGGGCTGATGAAGTAGTGCGTTTACTCCTTTCCCAGAAGCAAAGCTGATATTCGCCGCAGGAGATGTATTTAAACAATGAGATCGTAAGAATGAACGAGAGTCTCAGAGTGAAACGCACTCGTCATGTCTCGGTATACTACACCGTCATAGGTGCGCCCCTTTTCTCTGTTCTCAAGCGCGAGCTAATACGCTTAAAGCGACGCTGGTCGCACTAGGAGCGGTAGGTAGTGGCTTTCTTATCTATTACCCGTCGGCTGCGATATGGAGTTGGATCCAACACTCGCGAGAGGAGCTGCAACGCGCGTAGAGCATAGAGCAGCCGGGATCCGGCAAACCTTCGAAAGCTGTACTCGTGCTTGATACAATGTTGTAATTGTAATGTGCATCCTATCTCATACCCGTGATGACCATGCCGCCGTGCTTCCGTGCTCATCTTCAGGCGGACCACATCCCAATCGATCCTACAGACCCCATACTTGTTGCCCGACGATCCGCCAAAATGGAAGTAACCCCTCCCTGCTGAAGCGTCATACCTCGCCCCCTTCGGGGTGGCATAAGAAAAATTGGAACAATACAGAGAAGATTAGCATTGCCCCTGCATAAGGATGACAAACTCGAGCAGAGAGGAGGTTCTTCGGAACCAAATATTTTTTTTGGTTCTTGCTTCGTGTCTGTCTCACTTGCCCGGAAAAAAGAGGCAGAGACAAGAGGCGAACGAGATCCCTGAGAGTTTATCAGCGCCATGCTACAAAGCATGTACATGAGACCCATCACGTTTGTGAAATGAAACTGCACCCACACGAGAGACATGAAATAATGTTCTCGGTGTCCCGGTATCAGGGCGCGTCTGCCCTGCCAAGAATCTGGCTTCTTGCTCGTCGTGTGCTGAAGTTCTCGCTGGCTCGTCTCTCTGCCTTCGTCGTCGCAGACCACTGTACGTCCCTTGCATCCGCTTACTCTGTTATCTTTTTCAGTGATAAACCCTGGTTTATCGTACTGAGGCTGCTCAAGTCCATCGCTATTACCCTGCATTCCACCGGACGAGCCTCGACCTCGAGCGACCTTCCTTGGCTTTTATGCCACTTCTCTTGGCGAATCACAATCATCACACACGTTCATTCGACTTCCATACCTATTCGCCTTCACTTGCTGTGAATGGGGTCATTCTTCCATGCTGCTTCATGGCTTTTGTACAGCTCGTATGAAACGTTTATGGCTCTCATTCCAGGCCCGGAAATCGCAGAAGAGTATAAAGAACTCCGCTCACTGAGCTCTGTATCCCCCAACCTTTCTCAAAAGCCTCTGCAGCTACTCGAGCAAGCAGCACCTTCAAGATGCCAGTCCTCCACCAATGGGACTATCTCTTCGCCTTTGGTTGCATCTTTGCCGCTCTAGACGCTTACAACATTGGCGCGAACGAGTACGTCCCCTTCCTTCCCCTCGTAATCTCCTGCTAATCCGCCACAGCGTTGCCAACTCGTTCGCAACCTCCATCTCCTCCCGCTCCCTGACCCTTCGTCAAGCCACATGCCTCGCCGCCATCTGTGAGTTCCTCGGCGCTGTGCTCGCAGGCGCCCAAGTCGCGGGTACGATCAAAAATGGTATCATCTCCATGTCTGCATTCAAGAATAATGCCGGAATGGAGCTTTTGGGATTCGTCTGTGCGCTCGTGGCGAGTGCTACCTGGCTCATGATCGCTACCCGGTACGTCCCCTCTCAACCCTTCTAAAAGAAAGCAAGTGCTGAACAGCGGAACAGCAAATCATGGCCAGTCTCCACAACCTACTCGATCGTCTCCGCCCTAGCCGGTGTCGGAGTAGCCCTCGACGGACCCGGTGTCGTCCAGTGGGGCTGGAACGGCGGTAAAGGTCTCGCCACCATCTTTGCGGGGTTCGTCATCGCCCCCGCTATCTCTGCCGGGTTCGGTGCGACGGTGTATCTGTTGACAAAGTATGCGGTTTTGAAGCGGAAAGATCCTGTGCGGGCGGGGTTGAGGGCGGCGCCGGTCTACTTTTTCGGGGTGGCTGCTATATTGACCATGTCCATTGGTACGTCTTTTGTTACGTGTGGAGGGGTAGGAACTGATACGAGGGAATAGTGTATAAGGGCGCTCCCCAGCTCAAACTCAACAAGTTGCCTCAAACGACCATTGCCCTTGCCATCGTGCTCACCGGTCTCGTCATCGCCGCACTCGCCATCCTCTTCTGGATGCCATTCGTCCACGCCAAGGTCATCAAGAAAGACTACAGTCAGTTTCCTCTCTCTCTTATTAGCCTGCCTGTCAACGTTGAGGGAACAAGCTGACTGAAGTTATTAGCTTTAAGGTGGTACCACTTTTTCTACGGCCCGGCGCTTTGGTGGCGAGCTGCGCCGCCTGCCCCTCCTTCGGGACAAGAGATGGCACATGTGCCCGACTATCGAGTGTATGACCGAGACGACGAACTCCCCGCCGAGGGCACCAACGCTACCACCTCTCCCGAGGCTGCTCGCCCCACTTCCGTTACCCTTTCCGACAATGATCACACTTCTTCGCCTAATGGCGAAAAGTCCATCTCTCAAGATAAGGAGCGCGATCTTGAGGCGAATGCAGCGCCGCTTGCAAGCGGGAAGAAGGTGTATGGGAGTAAGCTTGAGGAGTTGGAGGCGGATGAGCACAAGTTGGAGGGCAACTTGTTGTCGCCCAAGAATCTTTGGATCTTGTTTAGGTACAGGCTGCCTCGAGCTCTTTTGCACGGCACTTCTGGTAAGCCCTCTGTCTCCATTACAGTGATCAAGCTCACAAAAGCATAGTCGACATCCACGCGATGCAATCCCACAAAGGCCAAGGCAAACACTCCGACCGCATGATGGCCATGTACGCTCACGCCGCGCAATACGACAACGAAACCGAACACCTCTTCTCCTTTATGCAAGTCATGACCGCCTGCACCAACTCGTTTGCGCACGGCTCGAACGACCTCGCCAACGCGGTCGGGCCGTTCGCGGCTATCTACTATGTTTGGTCGGAGGGGGTGGTGACGCCGAAAGAGACAGATACGCCGACTTGGATCTTTGTGGCGGGTGGGTTGATGTTGGTGTTGGGGTTGGCGACTTATGGTTATGTAAGTGGCTTTGCTTTGGTGGAAGTGGATGGAGCTGACTGGAGGATAGAATATCATGGCTGTGCTCGGTAACCGTCTCACCATGCACTCGCCGTCGCGAGGCTTCTCCATGGAACTAGGCTCTTCCATCACCGTCCTCCTCGCTTCCCAATGTACGTCCTTCTCCCCGCCTTTCTTCCCCCCTCCCAAGCTAACAAAATAAACAGACGGTATCCCGGTATCCACCACCATGTGCATCACAGGCGCCACCGCGGGCGTCGGTATCGTCTCGGGCGGCGTCAAGTCGCTCAACTGGCGTGCTTTCGGGTGGATCTTTTTGGGGTGGGTGCTGACTGTACCTATTGCTGGTACGGCGGCAGGGTGTTTGTGTGGGATTATCATGAATGCGCCGAGGTTCTAGGGGCGGATTGGGTCGAGGGAGGGTTTTTTCAGGTTCTTCTTTTCAGGTGCTTGAGATTTTTGGTTGGTATGTGTGATTCATAGATATGTGTGTAATGTCAGTGTGTGCTTTGTGAAGGACGGCGACGTTTGCAGAATCGCAGTCGCAAATATGCGATGGAGGAACCAAATAAGCATATTGCGTCACGGGCAATGGGACTCTGGCCTCTATCATCTGAGGGTATGACTCGGCTTTCCCATATATCGAAGCCCTCTCCATAGGCTGGAAAGCCGCGGCCATCCCCAGCCTGCCTATGTCAAGCTGACAGAGTCGATCAAGGCATTCGAAGCCATCATCTCCTCCCTCCTCCTCTAGGCCTCCTCCGGCCTCCTCTGCAATCGGCGGCTTCGCATTACGTAAAGCTACCTTATGCGGCGAAGCGTGCCATGCCGGCAAGGGCCGCTGCGGGTATGATGACACGAATTGAGCAATTGAGCCAAGCATGGAATACGAGTACAGACCAGAAGCTGACATCCTGCACTGCGCCTTCTAGCCACATCTCGGCCATCCCCCTCCCTCTCTCACGACAGCGCACGCCACAGCGTATCGGCCAGACCACCCGAGGCAGTGCCAACAGATCTGCACCCCCGGGGCCCGAACCAAGCAGTGTCCCAGTCATCTCCTATTTGGACCCTTGTCAGCCCAACACTCTTTCAAACCCCGCCGCTTCCTGACAGACGACTACAAAACAGTTTACCCACCTCTGAAAGGAAGGCAGCCACCGAGCGCCAGCGACCGCACAGCTTCCCTCAGATCTGGCGAGCTATACGACGTCAAAGCGCTGCCGGTGTGAGATTGTTCTACTCCTACAGCAGATACCCCAAGCTGGAACCCATACACCGCCATGTCTGCCAGCGAAAGCAACATTCCCATGAGGGAGGTGTCGACCGCTACACCGCCAGTCACCGTCCCTCCCGCGTCTGCCACAGAGGCCGTTCCCATCTCCCCTCAAGCCCCTTCTGCCTACCCCCAGCCCAACTCTCAGTCCGACTCCCAGCCAAGCTCAACACCGACCGCCCACCCTCTCCTCCACAGACCCAGCCCGGGACAGCCCCCGAAACACAACCTCCCCCCACCCAAACTCATCTCCACCCACCTCCTCGCCCATCCCGACCACTCTGCCGCCAAAGCCATCGGCAAAGTCTTTCCCCAGCATAATCCGCTGGTGAGGCTGCTGAGACGGTTCAAGGTGAAGCATAGTGTGATTGACGGGTTGACGGAAAAGGAGGAAGCTAGGTGGGAAGCTCAAGGACCTGAGCTGAGGCAGCGGGCGGGGTGGAAGCTGGAAGGGGAGGAGGGAGATGGGGCTGTCGTCTCTGAATTATTCTGGAAGGTGGGTAGCTCTGATTCATATGGTATTGAGCTGACATGGGGCAGATGTACATATCACTATTACCAACGCTCGAGCGCGATCCCCTCTCCGGCCTCGTCCCTCCCGACCTCTTGGGCTCTACCACCACCATGCCCCTCTCCATCATCTCCCTCATCCCCGACATCATGCAACACTACCGAGACGTCATCGTTCGTGCCGAGAAGGAGGTCTTTTTGGCTACAAACTATTGGCAACCTTCCAACTCTGTCAACACCATCACCCAAGCGCTGCTTGACTTGTCGGCGACAGTCATCAAGGAGAAGAAGCCCATCATTACCGTCAAAGTGATGTATGATAGAGGATCGTGGGAGCAACTGTGGAATGCCCATGCGTTCGTACCTCCGAGCGGGTGGACACCACTCGACTTGCCGGCCAAGGATGCTATCCCCGGCCTCAACATGGAAGTCATCGTACGTCCCTCCCTCTCCCTCCCCCCAACCAAGCTGATTGTTTGCGTAGAACTTTCACAAAGTCCTCCTGGGCACATTCCACGCCAAATTCCTCATCGTCGACCGCAAAGTCGCCCTCATCAACTCAAACAACATCCAAGACCGGCCCAACCTCGAGCTCATGTCGCATTTCGAAGGGCCCGTCGTCGATGCGTTCTACGAGATTGCCCTGCATTCTTGGTACAACAAGCTGACTCCGCCGCTGCCTTGTATGGGAACGCCGTATGCGCCCCCGAGGGATGCGGAGGGGAACGTCCAGTACTTGTTCCAGGACCATAACCCGTATTTCGACGATATCGAAATACTCAAAGCCGCCCGCGCCGCGCGCTTGCTCCTCCGCCGCCAGACAAAAGATAATGAAGACTCGCGGTTCGCACACCACGATACCGCTGGTGAGCGTCTGTTTGCGGCGGTGCAGAAAGTGGTGGATCAGCAGAGACAGCGAGCGGCGGAGTGGAAACCGGCGGAAGAGCTCGAGGCGAGGGCGCAGACGGCTATGAAGGAGTTGAGAGAGTTTAAGGATAGGTGGGGACTGGGAATGCAGGGCAGGATGGGGTCGAGTAGTCGGGTAGGGTCTAGGGGTCCTAGTCGAAGGCCGAGCCGGGAGAGGCGTAGGTCCACTACTTTTTCCGTTCGAGCAAAAACTAATGTCCAGCAGACCGGGATGAAGAAAAGCAAAGGACGCTTCTAGCGCCTTCCGAGGGAACCTCTTCTCCGACCATCACCGCCGAACTCGCACCCAGATCCAAAACCTACCCCCAGCCTGGTGATACCCTTGCCGACGACGCCTGGGCTTCCCGCATGCTCGCGGACGAGCCCCAGCGGCGAGACACGTTCGACTCGGAAGGTATCTCCCGCCACAGTCTCGAGCACGAGCACGGCGAGGGCAGGGCAAAGCACCACGTGGCGTTTGCGCATGAGGATGGGCCGATGTATGGTGTGAGGGGCTTGACGGAATCGCCGAACGCGTCGACTCTGAATATTACAGAGGAGAATGCGCCGGGAAAGGGAGCGGTGGCGAATGAGAGTGGGACGATCCCAGGGGAGGATGTGACGCTGCAAGGTAGGGGCCGAGGGAGGACGCTGGAACGTACGGCCGACCAGCCGACGGATGCCGAAATACTCGCTGCGGTATCGGCTGGCCATGGCCTCAAGCCGGCGCCTACCAATAGCAGGGAAGAGACTCTACCGCTCTCGGCGCAGATGCCGGATGAGATGGCTGCGGGGTACGAGACGGCCAAGAAGAGTGTGGCGCTGGACATCCCCGGGGGGAAAAAGTCGACGGACGAGACGCAGCCAGAGGGGACGGGGAGTAGGAGAATGTTTCAATTGTCGCAAAAGTTTAGTGAGTGCTTTCGATTGTGAAGAGTGGGTAGGCGCTGACTCGAGATAGATGCTGGAGCATTGTCGGAAGCTTGGGCGACGGTGGAAGATTCAGACGACCTTGATAATTATAGGCCTCATGTCGTACATGCCCCGCATGAGCCTTTCCCTATTGCCATGTGCTGTCGAAAGCCCCACGGATGTGAGCATGCCCTTGCTTTCCCTAGTTGCTAGCTGACAGCGAAATAGTCCCCGGTCACCACGACATTCGCAATCCCCAAAACGCCGCCTGGCTCGCCGGCTTCCGGTACGCGAAAAAGAAGGTCTTTATCCAGACCCCCACCCTCAACGCCCGCCCCATCGTGCGTGCCGTCAAGCAAGCCTGTCGCCGGGGCGTCGACGTCTATCTCCTCGTCGACCTCGGGTTCAACGATAAAGGAGAATCGATCCCGTTCCAGGGAGGCACCAATGAAGAGGTGGTGGACAAATTGTATAAGAAGCTGAAGGCGGAGAAGAAGGAGCAGTATTTGAAGGTATATTGGTATACGGGCAAAGACCAGGTGAGACCGTTGAATGCGGTGGTGAAGCAGCGAAATTGCCATATCAAGTTTGCGGCGTTTGACGATGAGGTGTTGATTATCGGAAATGGCAACCAAGGTGAGTGCCTCATGTTCGCTGTGGACCGCTACCAACAAGGCAACAGATTCACAATCATGGTTCCATTCTCAAGAAGTCAATGTCATGCTCGACTCTCGACAGATCGTCGCCGAGATGATGGACACTCTGGTCTCCAACCAAAACACCATGAAGTACGGCGCTGTCGAGTCTGACGGTGTTTGGCGGGATAAAGAAGGGCATACGTTGGAGCACTATGGTGCGACTGCAAAGGGCCAGTTCCGGGGACTGTCTGGGTTCATTGCGTTTGCAAAAACCATCTGATCATTTGATCACTGTCGACGGCGGGAATGGAGTCTAGCACGGAGGGCGCATCGGGGCGCCGTGGACGGGGGAGATTTCCAACATTTACCTAATCTGCGTGCTTGAGAGGCATGACCTGTATCTAGATTTGTACCAGTCCATAGTTGTCCATAATACAGCATCAGCTGATAGTATACACGCCTTGCATTGTGGTGCGCCTGATTTGGCCCCGCCTCGGCAATCCGTTATCTCCGGACCGAGATTGCGGACCCACGACGGGATATATATATATCGCAGCCACAAGGACGTCTCTGCAAACACCATGTCGTTCACCCAGGCAGCGCACAAGCTCCTCGTCATCCCCGGCCCCATCGAGTTCTCGGACCCCGTCCTCCTCGCCAACGCCACCCCCGGCACAGCCCACACCTCCCCCGCCTTCATCCCCGTCTTTGGCGAGTCCCTCTCCCTTCTTCGTGAGGTCCTTCTGTCCAAGAAGGAGAGCGGGTCCCAGCCGTTCCTCATCGCGGGAAGCGGCACCCTCGGATGGGACGCCACTGCCGCCAACCTCATCGAGCAGGGCGAGGAGGCCGTAGTGCTCAACACTGGGTACTTTAGTGACGGTTTCGCGGACTGGTAAGTCGTCCGCCAGAGCTGAAGGCTGCGCTGACCGGGTACAGCCTCGAAGCATACGGCGCCAAGGTCACCCAGGTTAAGGCCGAAGTCGGCAGCATCCCCACCGACGACGCCATCGTCTCCGCCCTCGCCTCCAAGCCCAAGCTCCTCACCATCACCCACGTCGACACTTCCACCGGCGTCCTCTCCCCCGCCGGCCACATCGCCTCCCTCGTCAAGAAGCACTCTCCCGACACGCTTATCGCCCTCGACGCGGTGTGCTCGGTGGCTTCGGAGGAGATCAAGTTTGACGAGTGGGGGGTGGATGTCGTGCTCAGTGCGACTCAGAAGGGTTTGGGGGTGCCCCCTGGTTTGAGTGTGGTGCTTGCTAGTAAGAGGGCTATCCAGGTGAGTATAGTTCAAGTCGCAAGAGTAAGTGACTGATGCTTGAGAAGACTGTGGAGAGCAGAAAGACTCCTATCGGCGCATACTACATCTCGTGGAAGCGATGGACCCCCGTCATGCAAAACTACGAAGCCGGCAAGCCTTCCTACTTTGCTACCCGTAAGCCTCACCCCTCTCCCCAGTTCAGCTACATGACTGACACGTACTAGCCCCCGTCCAGCTTATCTACGCCCTCAACACCTCCCTCAAAGCCATCCTTTCCTCCCCCATCGCGGACCGCTTTGCCGCACACAAGAAGGCTAGTGCCTACGTCAAAGACAGCTTGGCGGAGCTCGGGCTGGACTTTGTACCGAAGAGCAGGGATATCGCGGCTAATGGTATGACGGCTGTGAGGTTCCCTAAGGGTGTTACAGCGCCGGATGTGCTTCCCAAGCTTGCCGAGTAGGTTCCTATCTTTTCATTTGATGAGTGGTGACTGATGGATGGTGTAGGAAGGATATCGTTGTGGCTGGTGGTATCCACAAGGCCATCGCTTCGGAATACTTCCGTATCGGCCACATGGGCATCACCGCCGTCGACAGGGAGAGGGGTGACCTTGAGAAAGTCATCAAGGGCGTCAAGGAAGTCCTCGGTAAAGCTTGATTGGGACCAAGTTGTAAAAAGAAGCAAAAAAGTGAAAAGACAATTGGAAAGAGATGACTGCAGATGCATATGTGTATCAAGATACCAAACAACAGATACCACGCCAGTGGATAAGTGATCAAGTCGACCGTTCGACAAGTTCCACACCAAAGTCACCGACCCGCCGCCGTTCCGTCTCTCCATTCCTGTACTTTCTCAATGCCTTGACAGCACTCTCGGCGTATCGGAATACCAACACCACCAACGCGCTGCCGGCCAGACTCGCTGCTACAAGCCCGACAAGTCCGGGGGAACCAGCAGATCCCCAGCGGTTCGAGCCTGGTACAGAAGGGGTGCGATAGAGAGCAGAGCCGATGGTTGGGCCGATGACTGCACCCACGCCCCTTGCGATACTCCAGCCTTGACCTCTTTTTCAGTTACATATTCCACCTGATAACGAGAAAGCACTTACCAGCTGAAAGCAGACTCTGCTGCTCTTTGTCGGGCCCGGCAATGTCGCCTGCGTTCTGGAACCACATGGAACAAAATCCACCCGCCGCGAGACCGAAGAAGATGGCAAAGGGGGCAAGCACGGGAAGGCCTTGGTTACCGCCAAAGCCCCAGAGGGTGAGGACGAAGAGGGCGCCGAGGGAAGAAGAGATCGCCATGGCCGCTGCTGGTTTCATACGCTGCGAATGGAGTGTCAGAAGGGATGGGGATGGGATATGGAGAGGGAAGAAGGACGTACGTCGGTGAGAAGACCCCAGATGATTTGCGAGCCGATACAGCTGACGTTGAAGGCCGCCAACAGCCCAGCACCTTCTGCGCCCTTGAGCGTGTCGGAGAAGCGGGGCAAGAACAAGTTGACATTGCTGCACCACGGTCAGCTCCTCTGTCGACTATTCATGGAGGGGGTAGACTCACTAGTAACCAAAAGACTGAAACATGGTGCACAAGAAGGTGCCCAGGAAACCCCACCGGAGGTAAGTGGTGAAGAAGGGAGGCATGGGCATACGGTTGATACGGGCACGGGAGGAGATGGGGATACGCGGGTTGGCGAAGAATACTGCAATGCTCTGTCATTTCGTCAGTGCTGGTTTCATAGAACGGCATCGAGATGAAGGGACGTACAGCAATGGTCGCAGTGGATATGGCGGTGATACGAAGAGACCATTGGTAGCCAAGTTTACCGATGAGAAATTCGAACAGGAATGGCATGTACTATGAATAGTCAGTACAAATCTGCGGAGATCAACATGGTGAGGATAGACTTACAACACCTCCGACACCTCCTCCGGCAAAGATGATTCCTCCGGCTGTACCTTTCCGCTTATCAAACCATCTAAAGGATGATGTCAGCACTGATCACCAATGACTGTCGCGATGTATGAACGTACTCGGGGATCCATCGGATGATCGGGGAAGCTGTCAAAGCCGCCGCTATACCTGCAACCTTCTCTCAGTATATGCACCTCAAAACGCTGCTGTGACTCACCGGGTCCTACACCTTGGAACAAGATCAACAGCGGCATGCTCTTGACAAAGCTCGCAATGAGCATAGACACTACATACAAAGCCACCCCGAACCACAGAGAAGGCTTCATCGCTCGTGGATAGGCGTTGTAAAAGTAGAGCAGGGGAAGGGAAAGGATGTCTGGAATTTGTTTAGGTCGTTATCATGGCTGCAAGAGAAAAAGGAGACTCACAGCCAAAGAGGAGTCCGAGCGTTCCAACAAGAGAGATCTCAGTCTCCGATACATCTTTGAACAGCTACCAACAAGACCAAATTAGCGCACCGTCTACATCCACATCATGCTCCGACATACAGGCATAGCAGCATACTCTTTCAAGTACACTGCAGTAGAGTACATCGGACCCCAGAACAGCATTTCCATGGAGAAGCCGGCAAAGACATAGAGCCATGCTTCTCGACTTGTGTCTACGGCCGGGAGGGCGCGGACTTCTCTTTCAGGATTTTCGGCGGAAGTCTGGAGCGGGTCCATGCCTTATCTCGATAGCCTGCTGGTGTGACTACTGGAGATGACAAGATGCATTCATCTTATTCTGCGAGCTGCGATGCTGCTGCCGGTTGGTCATGTGGGCTCGTATTCGGTTGCGTTATGGAAATTCCGAGCTGGGGCCGACACGGGCGACCTCCACGGGGAATTAGCCTAAACGCGCTAGTCGACGGAAGTTTGGCACGAATTGCTTTGATGCAAAGGACAATGGGGGGACCCATGGTTTGATTGGCTACCGGATACAGCCAGCAAGAGCAACACCATCGTGTTTGAGATGCATATGCGTACTGAAAGAATGGCAATCCTTATGCAAGGAAACAAACGACGTTTCTAAGGTCTACCTTCTCTCGTTGAGCTCGACTCCGAACTCACTCGTGGGTCGTCGCTGTCCCATCTTTCCATTATTGTACTGTCTCACAGACTTTACAAAGTTCTCGGCATAGCTGAATACCAATACCACCAACGCGCTGCCAGCCAGACTCGCTGCTACAAGGCCAACGAGTCCGGGGGAGCCAGCAGAGCCCCAGCGGTTTGAACCCGGTACAGAAGGTGTGCGATACAGTGCAGAGCCGATGGTGGGTCCGACGACTGCCCCCACGCCTCTTGCAATACTCCAACCTTGGTGGTCAATCAGTTCTCAAGTCCTCTCAAGTCAAAACATCGGGTCAAAGAACGTAACGTACCGGCAGACAGCAAACTCTGCTGCTCTTTATCGGGCCCAGCAATGTTCCCTGCGTTTTGGAACCACATCGAACAGAACCCGCCAGCGGCGAGACCGAAGCAAATAGCGAATGGCATCAGAACAGGAAGACCTTGATTACCGCCAAAACCCCAGAGGGTGAACACAAGGAGGGCGCCGAGAGAAGAGGAGATGGCCATGGCGGACGGAGGTTTCATACGCTATGGTGAGTCAGTGGCGAGATCCCGGATAATTGAAAGATAGAACGGGGGAGTACGTACATCAGTAAGAAGTCCCCAGATGACTTCGGAGCCAATACAGCTGACGTTGAAGGCCGCCAGCAGCCCTGCACCTTGCGCGCCTTTGAGCGTATCAGAAAAGCGGGGTAGAAACAAGCCAACGTTGCTGTATTGGGTCAGTACCCTGAGCGTTATGCTGCGCAAGAACGCTTACTAGTAACCGAACGATTGAAAGACGGTACAGACGAAGGTCCCCATGAAACTCCATCGAACAAAAGTGGACAGGAAGGGAGGCATGGGCATACGATTGATATGTGCGCGAGTGGATATAGGAATACGCGGGTTCGCAAAATATACTGCAATGCTCTGTGTCGATGTCAGTCTTGGTTGGTAGAGTCCACGAAAGGGAGAAGAGGACGAACGGCAATGACAGCTGTAAAGATGGCAGTGATGCGGAGGGACCATTGATATCCAAGCCTAGCAATCAGGTATTCAAACAGGAAGGGCATGTACTATAAGAGAAGGCGGCTTTCAGTATACGCTGGCCGTTTAACGTGACTTGTTGAGTGCTTACCATGCCACCAACGCCTCCGCCGCAGAACATGATTCCCCCAGCAGTTCCCTTCCGTTTGTCAAACCACCTTCAACTTGATGTCAGTCGATACAGAACCGGAATTGACACTGAGATATTGACGTACTCGGGAAGCCATCGGATGACAGGAGAAGCCGTCAAAGCTGCAGCGATACCTGCAGTCATGTTAGCGTTGGTCCTCCGAGAAGTCATGTTGAGGGAGATTGGCTGGCTTACCGGGCCCCACGCCTTGGAATAAGACCAACAACGGCATACTTTTCACGAAGCTCGCAATCATCAGTGATACCACATACACGCCAACCCCGAGCCAAAGAGAAGGTTTCATCGCTCGAGGAAAGAAGTTGTAGAAGTAAAGTAAAGGAAGAGAAAGAATGTCTGATGAGCCGATGTGTAAGCTTGTTACTCCTGAGAAATGTGAAGAGGCAGATGGTGCTTACAGCCGAACAGTAGCGATAGGGTTCCGACGAGAGAGATTTGTGTTTCAGACACGTCCGCAAACAACTATCATCAGCGGAAGTCATTAGCCCACCATTCATTTAACCCTCCGCGAAGCTCGGACGTACGGGCATAGAAGCATACTCTTTCAAGTATACCGCAGAAGTAGACATCGGTCCCCAAAACAGCATCTCCATCAAGAAGCCAGCACAGACGTATAACCATGCTTCACGACTGGTGTCCACTGCCGGGAGGGTACGGACTTCTCTTTCGGCGGGCTCGGCAGGATTGCTGGTTGGATCCATCCCTGTTCGCTTTGTCTCGATGATGTAAAGAAAGTAGAGTCGGAAGAGATAAAATGCGTCTCTAATATATAACGTTGTCGTATTATGCGGGCAATCAGCTTCAATTCGATACATATCGAGTCGATTATACACAGCAACAATCCACGAAAAGCTTGGAAGCGACGGTTGTTGGGAAGCGACGGTTCATTATTGGAAGCGACCCGAATACATAAGAAAATGGTATATTACGTCAATACGAGTACAAGTTGTGGCAGCATGACAGCAAGTTTACCTCGCCACAGTCGCCAGCTTCCACCGCGGATCGTTGAGTTCGCCAGAACCGCCTGATGAGGCCTGATGCCTACACTCCGTTTAAACTGTGGTAAATGTAGTTGACTCACTTAACCCAAATGTCGCTAATCTATTAACATGGTCACGTGATGGAGTTGGTCACCATACCTGTCTAACAAGTTTATCTTGCTCTTCACAGGAGGTCGGCGGTTCGATCCCGCCCGGGATCATCTTTTTGCTTTTGTGTTTTTGATTAGGCTTTGCCTCCACTTTTGGTCGCCAGCCCTGCCGACGGAGTCTCTTTGCCTTCTTACTTTTGATCTCTTCTAAATTCACCTCTCTAGATCACAATTGTCCGTTCGCAATGTCAGACTTGCGCGCTGTGAAGAAATACGCGGCGCAGCATGATCTTTTCAATCGTCTTCATTCCATCGCCGCAGATGACGCTTTCGTCAAGAGTGTTGCCAACAACTGGTACGGTGGTCGTTTTGAGGTAGTCCGTGAGTAGATACTCTCAAGTTATACAGTACTTCCAAACTGACTTATATGCAGCAAATCAGAGATGCGGTACATGGTACTGTGATCCCGCTGTAAGCTCATAGTGCTTGTCAGAGTAAGGTCAATGATCTGATTATTGGGACCATAGACAAGCTCAGAAGTCTACGCATACTTTAAGTCCACAGATGGACACATGTCTGTGAGTAGAATATGCGTTCCGAGATATGTAGACTGATAATTTGCTAGCACTGGGACTTCAACTTGCGAAGATCTAATTTGTCGTTTGCCAGCTATGCGGCAGAGCGAGGAGGGTGAGTGTAGTTACTTGTAGAAAGCTCAGGCTTCAAATTTGACTATTTGCAGGTTGATATTGGTCGATTCCACGAGGAAGGGGAAGAGAATGCCTGACGGTTTGTCCAAAACAGTACCGATATGGTAAGTTGTTGATTTCCATGCCGGCTGTTGCTTACGACCATCAGGTGCGCTGTAATCAATTTGGCCATATCACTGCGGGAGAAGCGAGGAGAGGAGTGGGACACCCAGATATATATGCCGCCTCAGATAGTACCCGCTACAGAGCGTTCGCAGATAGAGGCGAGGCTTCAAGGGTGGGCAGAGTCCTTGGAGGTGCGTGAAAGGCTTTCGACGTTCTGTGCAATAACACTGATCCATCGATCAGCGCTCGACATTGCCCCTTCCCAAGCTTAGCAAACCCCTTCGACCATTCTTCCTCCACCCTTCTACGTCTTCCCCGCCTTTCATCGCCGACTCTGTCGACTTTACCCCCATCATGTGTCTCTCAGCCTCGAGGTGGGTTAACGAAGGGGGCGACAAGATTCCCTCTGTGACGAGCGTCGGACTGCGGAAAGTGGGATTCGAGTATGTACCCGGAGGCGGGGATGATGATGAGCTTTGGGCTCGGGTGAGTTATTCCTGCTGATGAACTGCGTATATGCCGCTAACGATGTCTGTAGGGCCTGAAACCGGCTGTCTTTCACGCGCACCGGGGTGAACTACTCTCGGCAGAGAGAGACGACCTACCCGCTCTGGTCGACATGATTGTCGGCTCTAGCAACAGCGAATCTACCCTATCTACTCGATTGGACGATATGTCTGTATCCTCCTCGGCGGAATTCGTAGGTGTACCAGCCTCTCACTCGCGATTAGCACTCGACGTCGGATCCCCGTCTTCCCCTTCATCCTCTTCAGCCTGGGAACGTTCCCATATCTCATATGTTGCTATAATTAAGCTTGACAAGTGTCCCAAGAACATCAAACACCTCATCACTCTCCAAGACGGGGAACGCTACGTGCTGGCCGTACCTTCAGCCAAAGCAGATGGCAAGGCGTACTCCACAGCTCTATCAGAGCTAGTGGCATTTGCCAAGGAACTGGATGGCAAACGCGGTATCGTAATTGGGTCAGCAACACCTTCGGATCTAGACGCAGCCGTCAAACAATGCTCGTCGGACGCCCAAATCAACCCCTTCTCTGCTGCCCGCATCCCATCCCCCATAGAATCACGCAAAGACATCATACCCCTCGCCCTTGTGCTTCTCTGTGCTCTGCCTTCTATTGCCGACTTGCCAGAAAAAACGTCGGTCACAAAGGGTACTATTGCAGACAGGCTTCACTCGATGGTCTCACTCTGGCCGGATGGAAATCCAGCAAGGGCGGCATTAAAGAGAGTCAATGAGTTTTTGATGGGCGAAGGGAGGCGTTGAAGCGCATGCGGCGGAGATGTGACAGGGGTGTGTACAAGATGCTTTCGGCAGATCACCATGGGATGTGTAGTGAGTCTGCAGCAAAAGTCAATGCTCAAATAAGTCAAGCAAAGGACTTGTTATGCTGCTTCCTCTCGCCTTTGTTGATCATATCATCTGGATGCATCTTTAAGTATCGGCTGAAATCTCCTCTTTGGACCGCTCCTCACAAAGACGACACTACTTAGAAAAAAGGCGTTTTCTCGCCATGGCAAGTCTCATCCTCCGAGTGGCTGGATGTGGGCGATCCAAGAGCTATGCCGTCATTATTCTCGGGTCTCGTGATGCGACTGAAGAACCTACTGCAATGTCTCTCATGGCTCACCGTTGAAGCATCATCGTACCTGCCTAGTGCCTTCTCAAGATACTTCATCTTTTCCAACTCGCGATCCTCCCAGTATTTCTCCGCATCGAACGTGCCCTTGCAGAGCATGTTGAAGACGTCAAAGGTCTTCTGGGCTAGAATATCCATTCTGCGACATTCTTGGGTGACTTTGAGATAACGGTTTGCCATGTTCTCGGGAGTTGAGATACCCGTGGTCGGTGGATGGATGGGAAGAGCGTGGTCAAGTCTGGAGGTTGTGGGTGTGGATGGCGACGACATGATTCCAGAGATGATGAGAAGATGAGCTGAAAGGCATGATTTGGATAGTGAGTTATATCTCCCTGAGAGGAGCAGCGGAAACATCCAGATGTCAAGCTCGTGGAAACACGCCCAACGCGTGCCGCTGAAGAAGCTGAAGGCGGAAATGGTGGTGACTTCTAGCAGGCCTTGCTTGTTCCGGGTGTCGAGCGGAACAGCAAGCTCACTCTTGTGGCCGTATGTATAGGCTTTTGTGGCAGTAGTGAGAAAGATATGAGGAGGTTATCGAGCGAGCTATGCCCCAGCTATTGTTTGCAAGGTCTATAGCTTTGCTTGGATGGCCGCGTTCTACTTCCTCCTCGTTGTTCAATTCTCTAGTACGTCCTTTCGCGGAGCAGAGATTGGCCTAGTGATATTCCAGTGCGGCCTTTTCTCATCGCGACGATACTGCTTCCCCAGCAATACTAGAACAGGTTGCGCGATGACCAGGCGCGGGCCTGGGGATGGGTGGTGAAGAAACAGGCCGCACAGCGGCCGTTGTAAATACCATTCATTCGCTATGAACTGGATGATTATGCTGGTAAGTATGCTAATGCTATCGCTGGACTGGCTATAGCATCGGAACCCATCTTTCTGATGCCAGTCTTTTCGATGCAAGTCGGTGCGCGCGGCGCGTCGAGATCCAGACTCAGGCACCAGGCACAGAAGGCTGGTTAAAGTAATTACCGTTCAAGAATCAACGTTCAACATCGAACTTTGTTTATTTTCAGTTCTTTCCACCTCTGAGTTACCACCGCTTGAGGCAGTTATATGATGAACACATTGTTGGAATCTCCATCGTCCGAGCAGACTGCCCAGTCCCACAGCCCCATTGTCTCGTGCAGACCACTATGGACCCTCAGCTCAAGTCCTCAAGGCCCTGGCGAGGCCATGTAGCAGTACTTGCTGCCAGATTTGCAGAGCAGAACGAACAGAGACACAGTCCACAGGTATTGCAGAGACACAGCTGACCTCCCAGCTCCGAGAGAACGTCTGCTTGTAACCTTATTGTCTCTGATCTTTGAATTTCAGTTTCGGCCAATATATAAGATATCAGACGAAGCTTGGAGGCCTGGAGCAGCGGGCCGACGCGGACACAGGGAAGGGGCAGGGGGCGGACACTGGGAAAATATCGATCGGAGCTGTAGAGCCTCGAATAACGTGGCAAGAGTGGTGTCGTGGGTGGCGACCTACATACGATGGCCGATTTCGATGGCAGCCAGCATTCATTTCTTCTTCATATCGTCTCTTTCTTTGGTTTTTCTTTCGATAAATTCTCTTTCTTCTCATACAAATCGCCCAATCTTCACCGCCCCTGCTGAACCCAGAAATCTTATACCCCGCCTCATCTCTTCTATTTTTTTCTGGACACACTCTTTTCGAAAGTCGTCCTCGCTGAGCGAGGCTTTTCGCCCTTCCAACCAACCTCGATTTCCCACCCTCTCGACCCTCCTACAATGGCCAGACTACTCCCCTTCCTTCTCATCCTTCTCGCCTTCGCCCTCATGATCTGCCAGGCAGCCGGGGCGCCCACACCAACAGACGAAGAGCCATCCCTGGTGGATAGAACAGAGCACAACATGTCGAATGCGCAGAGACTGCGAAGAGGGATGCCTCTGAGAAAGCCGGATCACTACTTTGACGCCCGACGTGAGTGCATTCAAACACCGTATGGATCGGAGCTGATGGTCAACAGTGGGTCCTCGAGCAGAGCCTTCGGCAGTCCCTTGATTGTCCTGGCATCGAGTGGCTATATACCTATCACACTGTACATATAGTGGTACGTGAGCCGAATCATTGCAAGACAAAGGCGCTGACGATCGAGCGAAAAGCTCACGACCATGTTCATGCCTGTTCCGCTTTCTATATACTGTCCCCCTTCATCTGGTCTCCCTCTGCGGCCGTTGGTCATTTTGCTTCCTTGAAGGATGCTGTTCTATCTAGTAGCTTTGTGCTCTGTAAGGATGTATGTATGCACGATAATCTGAGTGCTCCATCGGTCAGTTCATGCAAGAGAGGAGTATAGTGGCGGCCCCCTCCGCCCTCAGCGCGCCTAAAAACAACCAACTCATGAAGCTCGAATTCGTTCACGCGTTGCATCCATCATCTCTTTCATCGCAAACCAACAACCCTCAGCCATCATGACCTTCAACTTCAAGGACATGAGACCCCTCGTCATAGACTGCGACACCGACACTATCAGGGCAGCCTTTGCCATCGGCGAGCTCTTCCCAGCCCCGGTCATTGTAAGCCCCTCGGCCTCGATGAATCGAAAGCTGACGCGCCGGAAAGACGATTCGCGCTTGTTACGCTGTCCCAACAGCATCATCAAGCAAATCTGGAGACATAAACGGTGACAGCCAAGTGGCGGATGGCCAGGAAGCTGGGTCGAAGAGCGGTTGGCTGGTCGGCGAAGAGTTGCTTAACGCGCAAAAGGACGGACGAGATCGAAGTCTGGAATGGAGATGGCCGTTCAGGCCGAGTGAGGGAGCGGAAGACTGGGAAGGACGAGAATTCGTCATGTGCGTTGTCTTATTCTCCCTCCGAGCTGTACTGACTCCAAGTAGCTCACATGTTTACGCTCTCGCTGGTATAAACATCCCAAGCAACACTATCCCCCTTCTTTTGATACCTCCCGCCTCCCCTCCTCTTCTACCACTGTCTACTCAGGCCTCCTACACCCAATTTGCATTCGAGACTATCAACTCTCCAATGTTTTCCATCCTCCCCGCGCCCCTAGCTGGTCTCTTTGCTCTCGGTGCTACGACTGGCATTGTGATCTACATCGGCCCTTCAGAGTCGTCAGTGTTCTTGGTCACGGACTCTATCGTCAGGTGGGAATGCACGACGACCGCGGATGTGGGACGACTGGACTGTGAAGCCTTTTTCGAGGGATTGCTGATGGAGGATGAAGATCTGGACAAGGAGCTCAAAGCAGCAGCAGGGAAGGAATCGTTGCAGGGGGAAGAAAAACGAAAGCTTGTCAAAGAGGTGGCCGAGTTCGTGTGGAAAGAGTGCACTGGCCCCGATATCGAGGTGCCTGCGCTGGATAGCAGGGCTGCTGAGGCGATCAGAGGAGTTCAAGAGGAAGAGGACGAGTCTTTTGATGTCGCTAAAAAGTGAGTCTCACTTGCGTCTGACATTGCTGACAATGTACAGGCTCGCTGGAGATGCCACTGCCGCTCCTGCTGTGAGCTCTCATAAGAGCAAGAAGCAACAGGCCCAGGCAGTCGCCGCCGCCAACAGGGCTGCTGCCGACGCTGCGGCTCGAGCAGCCGAGCAAGTTGATTTGATTGTGGTGACCATTCCCTCGTTGCCCGAAAAAGAAATCCAATTGGGTCCCGTGCGGCATCGTCTTTGCGAACCGTTATTGACTGGCAAGACTGTTGGTGGGGATACCGTCTGGGAGGCCGTTGGGCGAGCGATCGAAAGCGCCAGTTTGAGCTTGGGAGAAAAGCTTGCTATCTGGGACGGTGTCGCTGTGATCGGAGAGACGGCCAAGATTCAATGTACGTTGTGGAATATGATTTTGGCAAAGCTGACACTCCCCAGCCTTCTCTCCTGCGCTTGTCACCTACCTTTCGCCTTACCTCTTGTCCTCTGCGGAGCTCGTATCCGACTGTCAACCGTCCAAGTTGCGTCTTTTGAGCATTCCCGAATACTTTGCCAATTATCGAAAGTCTACGACCGACCTTGCGCCGTTCTTGGGTGGACAGCTTGTTGCGAGGGTAAGCTTGGTCTTGATCAGGTCGTAGTCATAGCTGACGTTCTGCAGGTCGCTTTCACAGAGACGCAAGGAAAGCACAGTATCTCCAAGATTGACTATAATTACAAGGGACCGCAGGCCATATATACAGTCATTGGCGAAGACAGATAGGACATTGCTCTTGATAGAGTATGCAATATGTGATAGGCCTACATGTTCATGTGTCTACCCTAGTACGGCCTGTTGACGCTCCCCATCCCTCCGGGCACTGGCCGATTGACCCATCTGCTAATAAGCCCCATCGCTCTCGCTCTCCTTACAAGCTTTCCTACTCTCCTCTGCGACTTCCAAGTCAACCCTGTTTCCGCCCGACTCTTGATCTTGCCCATGGCATTGACAAACTCGTACGCGTAGTGGGGGTTGAGATCGTGTGACAGAGGGTTGGTCTTGGTGATGTGGAAGGGATCAAGCTTGACAGCTATCTTTTTGGGGGGACCGAGAAGGGGGGAGCGGGCACGGGGTCTGGGTTCAGGAGAAAGAGATTCGGCGGTAAACGCTTGAGGTCGAAGGAACTAATTGAGATTAGCAATGCTCGCTACAATCAAGGCCGCACATACCTCATTCTTCTTGAACACTTTTCTATCATCCCCCAGTACTGAAGATGCACTCGACGGCCCAGCAGTGCGAGACTGGGCGACTTTTTGGTCGAGATGGCCGCGTAAGAGCTCCATAGGAGATTTCTGAGACCCCTGTTGACGCGAGATGGAGGTGGTGAACTGCCGAGCCGACAGGGTAATGCGGGGGAAGCGAGTGAACGACATTGTAGCCGGGATGGAGATGGCAGGCAGGGAGACAAGAAAAGAGTGGCAGATCAAGTAGTCGAGCGAAAATGAAGAAGACGAGAACGCACATATTGACTGTTACGTAACTGAGTTCGGACCTCCACCGAAACAAGTCCAACAAAGTAATTTCAGAAAGTCTTGTGCAGACAACCCCCAAAAGCATGTCCAAGCCAGCGAGCAAGGCTGCGCCCCAGAAGCCGTATGGGAGACCACAGAAAGTGGTCAATAAAACAGTGGATCTGCTGAAGAAGAATGAGAGAGCTAGTGCGGCCGGGAAGGGCAAGGAGAGGCAGGTCTTGGGAGATGTCATGGGTTTAGTCGATGGTGAGTCAATTGAATCATCAAAGTCATATCGCTGACAATCACTATAGAAGTAAAAAGACTTCCCAACCTGATACAAGTTGAAAAGTTTGCGCAGGTCAGTTTGACACATCTCAATCAGGTATACTTTGCTGACTAGCTGAATCAGACGAGAGCCATGGAAATACATGCCTTCCAAACTGCTATCAAGAGCGCAGCGTATGTGACCCATTCATAGTGTTCCCACGACTCTATCTGATTGTCTGTAGGACGCAAGGAAACACTCGAGCATTCCAGTCGCTCCCTAGACATCTTCGTCGTCGAGCTGCTAGTCATAACCCTCGCCGAGTGCCAAAACGCCTCCGTAGCCGAGCAGCTGCCGAAGTATGTCTTCTGCTAGCAACCATATACTCCACTGACAATAGTAGATTGACGCTGCCGACAACATCGCTAAAAAGCATCGCAAGATTGCCAAACTTCGCGCCAAAGGCAACCTTCGCTCGCACCTTTCCCGCACCGCCCTCTTCCGTATACGTCAACGCTCCAAGCGCTGGCTCCCTACTCATATATGGCACGCCAAGCGTCACCACATGGTCAACCACTGGGGATGGAGACTTCCTATGAGCCCGACACTGAAGAGTTTCAGGCCGGCATATAGAGCAGGGAGGCGGAAAGCGGTCGCTTGGGATGTGAGCTACTATGGGGTTATTGAAATGGAAGGGAGGAGAGAGGATATCGTACGACTGCTTGGTGGTGTGACGGACGGAAAGTTTGCGGGCGATATGTTCGAAAGTGGGGCTAGGGTAGCCGGTATCTCGTTCTACCAATATGACGCTTTCCCTCAAGGGCTGATCGGGCCTGGAGAAGTCATTTGGCAGCCTATAACTCACGCGAAAAATGATAGAAAGGTTTGGATCCGACTCCACCCTTCAATCTTCAACCACGTTTGGACGCTCTTCAAAACCACTTCGCTACACATTCTGAGTGAAGCCGGGTCATCCTCCAATGCCAGTCAAGGCTTACAGATTCGAGATCTGAGAGACCAGCTGGAAGCGCTGGAGATAATGGGACCAAAGTCTGGAGAGGTACTTCGACGTGTGTTGAGGCTATGCAAATCTGAGGAGAGTCTCAAGCAGAGAGTGAGTCTACTCGTCGGATTGAGCAACTCAAGCTGATACTTCGATAGGTGTTTAACGGGTTGCAAGACCCCTCGAACATACCTGATGGCACTGTGATCGGTCTCCAAGCTTACGACCCTCGTCTTCAGTGAGTGGTACACGTAGCTACGCCTGTAACGTACTGACCATTTTCAGTTTCCCGCCGCCCAAGCTCTCAGAAGCTGAGCAGTCCGGCACCAACGACGGAGTCCTTCGCGACGATATCATTGGGCCGACAGGGAAGCTGGCTTTCTCTTTGTTGTGGGATGCCGAGTCACGAGAAAATGCCTCGGAAGTCACACATACCAAGTTCCAGCTCGACGCTCGGCGGCACAAGGTGAGTTCCACTGTGATTCGCAAACACATCGCTGATCTCTTGTTAGCTCGGATTGCCGGGAACGAGACTGCATCCCCGTCAGTCCGATGATCGACTCCCCATCATGCTATTCAAGCGCTCCACACATCCTCCCCCCTCTACAACTCCCCAATCATTCCACGGCTTCACACTCCTTCTCCCAACTGCGTGGGCCCAATACCTTCTCACCTCTATCGCCTACACCGGTACGCTCATCGGCGGTCTCAATGAGCGCAAAGTGCAGCACAGGGAAGCTGGCGTGCATAGTTTTCCAGAGTATTTCAGCGGAGTTTGTGAGGCGGGGGATAGGTGGCACGAGGGTAAGGCTGCATTCGAGAAGGAGACGTGGGATAGGAAGCCGCCTGGAAAGAGGGTGGAGTTTGCAAAGGTTGGGACCAGTAGCCCTTGGACGCCAGACTGGGACAAATTGCTGGTAAGTGTCTATCTCAGTTCTGGCATGCTAGTCGCTGATTGTAGCCAGGGTGCAGACACATCTGCCGAAGAGGCGTCTTTGAACACTTCCTCGCCCTGCAAACCTTACCTGCTCCCACATCCCTTTTCCACCTACATCTCACCCAGCCTTGACCCTCTACAGCTGCTTGAACAGCTCAACACATTTCGTCGTCAGCGCTCTTTGGCCGCCTTGCCCCCGACCAAAACTGAGGCTTTGTTCAATGAGGCAGTGTTACATGTTGACATAGATGTGTTGGGCAGAGGGTCGCCGGGCGATATGGCGATGATCTGTGGGCTGGTGGGTGAAAAAAGAGAAAAGTGGATCCAAGCGTACGAGCGGGAAGACGACGGCTTCAACTTTGCTGGAGAAGTGACTGAACTGCAGAAGGTAGGTTTATTCCGTCTCCGGTCATGATCACTGGCTCATTGCTACTCTCACTAGCTCGGTCAAGCCCCATCGTCACATCAGAGACTGATAGGCTATACTGACTCGGGCAATATCTCTCTCACTCGCGGACAAGGCCACGCGCTCGGGACTATCACCTTGCGAGGGTATGTTGAGCTTCTCCAGGCTTCTTATCCTTCTGCCGCTGGCCAGATAGGCCATGTCGAGGGCTGGGATGGGAAGGCGCTTGTCTGTGTGAAGAACAGGGACGGGACAGTCGGCAGATTTGGGGAGGTCCGGGTGTGTGGGTGAAGTACCATGAAACGTTTTGGATAGAGCGTGGTCGCCGAATACAAAATGACGATCTTGCACTTCACTATCTATCCGCAGCAATGTCGACATTCAGCATTGCACCCGATCATCATCACTGGCTCGATTCCCATCCTCGATTCCCATGATCAACAAGTCAACTGATCTCACCACCTCAACTACTGATCTCCATCATGAAAATTGTGTTCTCAGATCTCCATCGGCGCACACATGGATCGACGAGGCGGGTACAGAATCATACTGATGTGACTTATGCTGCTGTCGCGAGAGCCATATTTGTCCATAGAGCGACATTATACTACTTGTAGATTATTACAACGAAGAAATTAAGAAGGAAGCGGAAATCGCAAGCTATTGAGATGATTAGTACAGTAAACTTTCGCTGAGAACAACATGAGAGGGGTTTTACCTCAAATAGGGGACTGGGGAAGGGGGGAGAGGGAAAGAAGATAAGGGATCGGGAGGAGTCTCGTCATGGGGTAGTCGTGATACAGTCTCGGAAACAGAGTGTTGGAGGTCTTGGAGAATGTTATGATTAAGGCTGCGGCGGCTGGTTAGCTCACGGACAGAGGGAGAGAAAGAAGCCCGATAACTCACCGCACAGTCTACGCAGGCCAGTGCTGCCTCTCGTAAGGGTCGTATACCGGTAGAGGGGTAGCCACGGCGACCGATGCTATGGTGAGAAGCACGGCAACAACTTGGGTGATAGAGAGTGACATGCTAGCTTGTTGACAAGGGAATGGGTGCGGTAGATAAGAACGAATGTGGATGAGAACTCGCGAAGGACGAGGAAGATTATAGAAAAAGGTGGGCAAGCGATCACGAGGCTGCACGGAGAGCGGTTACGAATGTGGGATGGGAATGTGGTGATGGGATGCTTGCAATCAATTGGAGTCGCCGTAATTCCTTGAAGATAAATACCGGCACCAATATCGGCACATTTGGCACTACAGAGAAGGCGGGATTCGGGATCCTGAAATTGTGATACGTATGCAAGCAGAAAACAACAAACAAACAACAACGCTTAATACGTTTGGTGACTAACTTAATCGAGTACAAGGTTGGTACACCGTACATGCTCCATGAGTCCATGCTTGACAGCAGATGCAGAGATTAGTGAAGTTGCCAGCTGTTGCAGCTGTCTCGAGCTCTGACCAACAGTCATTGTTTCAATGACTTACGACTTACGAGAGACAGGGGCTGATGACGACGGCATGGTTTCAGTGTCTGCCGTACTCGTATCCCGCGGCCGGGTCCCATCATCCGATTGAGGACCTTTCTGCATAGCATCTATTACAACAAAGTATCCATTCGACACCAGGTCGAGACCAGGACATTATAAATGTATATGTAATCCAAGAGGATCCCTTTTTATCATCTAATCATGCGAGATAGTGCGCCCAGCGCGACTCCCCGCCACGCGGAGATAAGCTCTTCCCATATAAGATCAAGCCACCAAAGCCTCACTGCCTCAGCTGATATAAGGCTCTTCCCTATAGTACACGCTCCCAGAGACAAGATCCAGATCTCCTCCCTCAACCCGCCCATCAGGACAAGCAGGCTTGCTCGTATTCCCAGACCATATAGCATTGCACCCTGGCAAATACGTCAATGCGGTGGACACTGTCTCGCCTACTTCTTCGTTGACGATGGATGTTTGGAGGCGACAGGAGTGAGTGATGTCCATGTTGATGGAGGCGTTCAAGTGGGGGCAATTGGGAGGGTCGTCGGCGACTATAATCTGAGAGTTAGTATCGAAGCATGGAAAGATGATGATGAAACTTGCCAGAATCTATATCGGTCGCGTTCATGTACCGACAGTCGTCCAAGACACCTTGAAGAACAGAGGTCTTCCAACCGTTCATAAAGTCCGCATGGATACCATACTGAACGCTCGGTCAGCTCTACTTTCACATATCCAGACGAGACACGTACGCCAGTGGTATCTCCATTAGCCAACAACCAAGTGATGTTGTTGTTTCCGTTGTAGGGAAAGTCGTAAACGGCAAAGACAGTCTCGAATTGCAGAGTGATAAACTTCTTTGGGAAATCTACGACGTCGTCAGACAGAGACAAGAGAGAGGCAAGAAGACGCACCAGAGGGACAGTAATAGCCATTGGTGTCGTCCGTTGGGTACGTGACATGGTCGGTATAGTCTCCGTCGTCCGCGTATACACCATCCCAGCAACTGGGACTGGACAAGACATGTCAGCGATGTACCCTGCAAAGCCTGAAGATTAAGGTTTACAATTGTATACCCTGAACGAGACCGCCGGAGCAAGCACTCTTGGGAAAGCCCCAGGACTTGAGATCATTGCCGTCCCCTCGGTAGCATTGGTACCAAAATGCGGTGTGATTGCTGATTATCGGGTAATTATAGTGTGGCACGACATCAGAGCAAGCAAGACTCACGGGTCGGATTCGTTCACATATCTCCTGTATGGGTCTCCGGCCACAATGTTGTAGTTGTCGGGGAAGGGGTAGATTGTCTCTCCGGTAGGCGCCTTCTGAAAGTAGTAGAGTGACGTCCTATCGAGAGGTACAGATACCAGCGACCCGTTCGAGTATCGGTAATAGAGCGCCGATACCCAGTAAGCCGACAGATCATCCTGGACGACTGTGGTCGTACAGTTCGCCAACTCTTGCATTTCGGTGGCCGATGTCAAGTTTTGCGTAAAGTACGATGACCCGTGCACTCGGTGCATGTGCGAGCCGATAGCGCCTGGGTTGACAATGGGGTCTAGACGGGTGACGACGATGGAACGGTTGGTGGTCATGACAAAGTGATCTGCTGAGCGATTACCGTGTACAGGGATATCGCCTGCCTCGCCTTTATCCACCCCTCCTTCAGCGATAGACAGAGGATGTCCACCATTGTCTGAAGCCGAACCCGCACTACTAGAGGATGAAGATGACGAGTGGTTGGGAATGACGACGGCGCAGACGGCGGCGACAACAGCGATAATGACAATCAACGCCGCGATGATGCCAAAGAGAATCCACTTTCCCCTCCTTGTAGCTGGCCAGCAGCTTCTTCGCTTCGGCTCATAGCCCGCCTTCTCATTCGTGGCAACATATGCAGCACCGGACGAGGCCGGCGGCGGCGGCGGCGGTGGCAAGCGCGAGTCAACCGGCCCCTGCGGTTGGACAGTATAGGCCGCCGCAGGTGCTGCTATGTAGGTTGAGTACTGATTATTGGGGCGGGGAGGTACTGGGGGAGGAGTTGCTGAAGACCGACGACGTCGAAGTGCAGGCAGATCACTGTCCGAGATGGCTGGTACAGGCTTTCTCGTGAGAGCCGCCGACGGCCTTGGCGGTAGCGGTGGAGGCGCGTAATGTTGTTGTTCGGGCGCGTACTGAGGTTGGTTGGATGCGTCTTCGACAGTAGGCAGCGAGGAGGTGGCAGAGGGGTTTCGTGAGAGGAATGGGTCGTGGTTGTCGCTGGAGTATTGTGGGTGGAGAGACATGGTGGTGGGGCGAGGGGTGGAGTCGGGGCGTGGCGTTGATAAGCAAGGCCGTGAGGATGATAGGGGGCGGCGTTGGCTTTGAGGGGGGGGGATTATAAGGAGGTATTGGATGAAGGAACGATGACGAGGATGCCGGCAGGAGGAAGATGGACGGGAGATGGAATTGCGAGATGCGACCGTACACAAGAGGCCCAGCAGAAAAAGCTTTCAGCCCGGCCTCCGTGTCCTTGGCTGAAGGATCTTCAGGCACAACGGGGAGCTCCGATTGCTGAATTGTCACCCGCGCTAGAACCCATGCTAGACGGCTTGCTAGGTCTCGTACATCACTTGTATGAGGGAGGAGCGGAACGGTGTATACAGTAGAGGGGTTACGTTGACCATAGGGAGAGCCAAACGGTAATAAGGATTGAGGGACAAAAAACAAAAAGAATGATCCCGGGCGGGATCGAACCGCCGACCTCCTGTGAAGAGCAAGACAAGCTTGTTAGACAGGTATGGTGACCAACTCCATCACGTGACCAATTGGTTGAAAGTAACCCTTCCATGTCGGTGAGGACCTGGGCAAATACATCGTAGTCGTCGAGGTTGAGAAAGCAAAAGCAAAGTTCAATTACATGTACAATGACCACTTGAAGCTCAGATAAAGGTCACATAATCATTTCTCTCATAGTTCGTTAATGTCCGTATCATCTATGCTCGTATCACCCTCATCCCCACATACACCCCACAATCACGCTCCCACCATAGTCTCTTCGTAGCACGTCGTACAAAACGCTCCTCCCTGATGGGGAAAGAACAGTCCGTTGCCAAACTCTCCTTTGCAGTTCTACACGCCCGTCAGCCCAGCCCACGGCGCAATGCAAGGCAGAAACTCACGGTACAAACGAAACACTCCTTGTGCCACTTTCCTCCCAGCGCTCCTACTGCCATATCCCTGATAGGCTTCCTGCATCCCTTACACTTGGGCTTATGCAGACGAACGTGACAGTTCTCGCAGTAAGGATGGCCCTTGTGAATGACGAAATCGCTCGTCTCTCCGTCATCCCCTTCGTCGTCTCCATTTGCACGAGCTTTCTCGGTGCCCGGCGCTGACGATTTGGAAGGGTCCAAGAACGGGTCACCACACTCGGAGCAGAAGAAGTGAAGCTCGTGGTAGTATCGCTGTCCGAGGACGTCATCGTTCAGTGTGATGAAGCGTGGTTCAACGATGGGCGTTTTGCAGTGATGACAGCGATGGGCGAATTTCTGTAACATAGTCAGCGCAAGAGAGCGTCAGATAGTAGAACACTCACGTCGTGGTAGTCCAAATGACAGTACGCCTTCCCTTCAAACTCATAACTGCTAACATGCTCCAAGAGCTCTCCGCATTCGGCGCATATGAAGCACTGAGGGTGCCAGCGCTGGTTCATGGCGTTGACGATACGCCCGATGATAGGCTGGCCACAGCCGGTACAGAGGATGGCAGAGGAAGACTGAACACGCGTGCGAGTGTCATTCGGGTGCTGGTGAGAGTGAGAGTGAGGGGTAGAGATGGAAGGGACAGGCACAGATACGGCAGGAGCACCGCCGACAGAGATGGAAGGGACGGTAAAACTGATCTCGCCTGCTGGCTCGTCCGCGGTATCAGAGGACGAGACAGTAATCATAGGCGCGCCCGCGAACGAGATCGCAGCATCTGGATCCTCCTTCTCCTTCTTGAGTGTCCGCTGGGCCTTGGGAGTAACATGGTTGGATTCGTCCTCCGAGGCAGCTGATGAAGCGTCAGAGTCGAAGAAGGAAAAGGAAGGGAGCGGGGTAAATTTGGCGGGGGCATGCGGGTCGGTAGATTCAGATGGGGCGCTGATGGCGGGAACCGCGATTGCAGGAGGTTGAGGAGAAGGTGATCTCGAGCCCCCGTTCGCCTGAATGCCCATAGCTCTCATCCCGTTCGCCAACTCGTCTTCCGGTTCACTCTCCTCGTTGACGGTAGACGGCTGTCTCCTCCCTTTTCGGTACGCCTCTCCCATATCTCCCATTGATGGAGTCCCTCTATCCAGACTCTTGGAGGCCACCACGCCCCCAGGGGGTTTCGGCAGAGGTCTTCTTGAAGCAGAGGAGGGAGAGGACGAAAAGCTCGCTCGATCTAGCGATTTTACAGACGACAGGGTATCTGATCTATCCAGATCCGGCTGCTGGGAGCGCGTCGAGTTGGTGGGAGAAGGCTGCGCCGAGGCATAAGGGTGAGGTGAAGGTGTCTGCGAGGGAGCAGAGTGGGGAACCGGTGAAGACGGCAGGGCGCGTCCGCCACTTGCAGGGCTCGTGTTCACCGACAACGGCGTGCGTCCGCGTGGGGGTGGCAAAGGCCTCCCTCCTTGACTGGAAACAGGGCTTGGGGGAACAGAGTTGGAAGGGGATGGCGCTGGGCTTCTCGAGCGTGTTGGGGGTACAGGAGGCGGTCCCATGCCACCGGGCTTGGCCATCATTGCCATCGCCTCTGGCCCTGGAGACGGCCCTCTCATTCCTGATGGCGGTACAGAGTAAGCTGCCTGGGGGAACTGCGGCACTGGAGGAAGGTTCTGAGGTATAGGGGGAGGTGGCATGGCTCCTCTACCCGCTCTGAGATCTCCCTGGCTCGCCTTCGCTCTCAGCGCAGCATCCTTTGCCCTTTTTCTTTCCTGAAAAGTCTGGAACACGGGGGGTTCATAGGCGACTTTGGGCACCGGTGATGGGACAGCCTCGACACTGGGGATGCGGTTGGAGTACGAGTAGGGGCGGGGGTTGGGATAGCTATTGCTGGGGTATGAATGCGAAGGTATGGGCGGGGGCGCGCCGTACGAGGAGTACGAGGAGCGAGAGGAAGTGGACGAAGGGACTGAGCCGTATGGTGAACCGCTGTGGGGGATTTGTCCCAGCTCTCCTGCCGTATAAGGGCTTTGAGGAGGATAGGGCGAGTATGGTGACTGAGGCGGTAGTGAGGATGAGGAGGAGATGGACGACTGAGGGTACTGGTAGTACGCTGGGTGGCCGTTGGGCTGCATCTTTCGCTGGGATGCCCGCTCTATCGTGGGCGTAGGGGCGAGAGGTCGGCGATGGGGTGTGTGGGTGCTGAGGCTGCAGGACAGAGGCGGACGTGGAAAGACAGAGATGAGATGGAAAAAAGAAATGATTTGTTTACAACGCGCGAGTGACAACGAGTGACAACCACAACCTGAAACCTCTCTCTCCTTCAGTCTGAACTCAATACACAGTAGCAATCCTCCTTCAGGGACTTTTTGTATCAGGAATGGACTTGTTTACATATCATTTAGCATCTACATCTATGAGTTTGGCTCTTCTGGCCCATCAAAGCTCGCCTTGCAAACGCCCCTTCTTGACCTTTTCAAAAGCAGGTCGAGGGTTCTCAGGATCAATATCCGCCCAGCTATGTTATGTTAGTATTGCCTGCTATCGGTAATCGTTGACTCACTGAGGCATCCTCATGGGCATGGTCTCGGGGTTGAGCTCAGGGAACTTGGTCACAATGACTTTCTTCACTTCCTCGAAGAGGACGGCATATGCGGGAGGCGTGAGGTGGACGCCGTCACTAAACCACAATTAGTATAAGAGTATCGCCAGCTTGGAGTGACTCACTATAAGTAAGAGTCGAGCTCTGCGTCGCCTTCACCACCTGCAGCCTTTACGATAGCCCCCCAGAGATCTACAACCTCAACTCCTTGCTCCTTGGCCACTGCCAAACACCCCTCCGCATACGTCTTTGCCACAGCCTGATCCCTGTTCTGGTCCGGCTTCTCTCCCTCCTTGCCAAAGAACTCCCATTTCGAGATCCGGCTTGTGAGCCACTTGGAAGTGCACACAGGTGGAGGAGTGATGAGAATGATCTTTGTTTCGGACGAATAGTAAGGAGACGCAGCAGAGGTGAGAAGACTGAGAAGATGGACAAGGTTGGCCTTGTATTTGTCGACGGGGACATGTTGAGGAGTGCCGGGGAGGCAAGCGTCGTTGGCGCCTGCATATGTATTAGAGTGATGCCAGTTGTACTTCAGACACTTACCGAGCCAGATGGTGATCAGCTTGACATTCTGAGCTTTGCCTTGTTTCCTCTCTTCCTGTGTGGCGTATACTTGTTCAAACACGGGAATAGCCCTAGGACAAGGTTAGCAAGATATCACCACCATCTTAGTATACGGACCACTCCGAAGTATACCCTGTTCATATGTCAGCTTGTATTCACACATAGTCCATAAGACGCACCTCCAAAGCCTCTATTCACAACATCAGCTCTCCTGAGATACCACTCTGACATCCTCTGGGAGAATGAGCCAGCCGACAACGCCTGGGTAAGCGAGTCGCCCTGCCGAACGAAAGGTCAGCGCTGTGTCTCCCGAGCGCACTGGCACGTACGAAGAGCATGATGGTGTCGGTATAGGCGGAGACGGACATGACTATCAGCAGAATGAGAAAGTAGGTATATAGCATGCAAGATGTACTTGCTGGACATGCGTGAAAGAGACCGGTACGGTCATCGCCGGCTTCTTGGATCTCGACGCGTCCACCATGACTTTCTTTGACTCATTTTTCATTTCTGTGTCATCTTTATACCTCCCCGATTTTTCTCACAGCGCCTTCTGATCTCATCTCAAAATGTCCAACGGCGCCAGTCTGCCTTCACACGAGTACCAAGTGCCCGTCAAACGCATCCTCTCCAAAGCCCATCTCGCCGCTTTCCAAAGATCTCAGGCGCACAAGGATATACTATCCTTCATTGAAGATCTAAACACGAGCGTCGTGGGGAAGAAGCTTTCAGAAGCCGGAGAAGGATCGGAGGTGAGTTGTCAATGGTAGGCAATTGGGTCCAAGCTGAGCAGACATGTAGCGGACGAAACCTGTTCTGGCAGTATTAGATCAAGTATCGGAACTTGCCCACGCCACTCCCCCCGTGGACAACAAGCTGTCCAGATTTGGCAACCCTGCTTTCAAGACCTTTTACGACAAAGTATCATCATCGATAGTATCGCTACACGAAGCGATCCCCAGATTACCAAAGGAAGCCATTAAGGAAGTCGAAGTCTACTTTCAAGAGTCATGGGGTAACAAGGAGAGAGTGGATTATGGGAGTGGGATGGAGCTGAATTTCTTGTGCTGGCTGTACGTTTCATCACATCTCAGACGTTACCTAAACTGACATCTTAACAGACTTTGCTTGACAAAGCTTGGCGTCTTTACCAAAGATGACTACTCATTCCTCGTGCTGGGTGTTTTCTGGAGATACATCAATGTGATGCGCTATCTCCAATCGACATACTGGCTGGAACCTGCTGGTTCGCATGGTGTATGGGGCTTGGACGACTATCACTTCTTACCCTTCCTCTGGGGAGCTGCTCAGCTCAAAGGTGAGTAATCTTCGAGGTGGCAAGGCCCAAGCTGATGCGTGTTACCGCAGATCACAAATACCTGCGTCCCAAGGCCATCCACGATCCCGAGATCCTCGCCGAGTTCTCCAAAGACTACATCTACCTCTCCTGCATCCAGTTCATCAACTCTATCAAGACCGCGTCTCTCGGCTGGCACTCTCCAATGCTCGACGACATTTCCGCCGTCAAAGCGTGGGCCAAAGTGAACGAAGGGATGGTCAAGATGTTTGTGGCGGAGGTTCTCGGCAAGTTGCCGGTCATGCAGCATGCGCTGTTTGGCAGCTTGTTGAGGTTCCCGAGTGTGGAGGAGGATGAACAGCTGAGAAAGGACCTTGAGGCAGAAGGATGGGTGGATGGAGAGAGTGGAAGGGAGGATGAACATGGGCACGTACATGATGCTGGTGAGAAGGGGTGGACGATGGACTGCTGTGGTATACCTGGTATGTCTGTCCGGTACTGTACGTTAGACATCAGGCTGATGATCAACCCAGTTCCCTCGGCGTTTGCTGCCGCCCAGGACGCCAAAGACAAGGGCTTGCCCGCGCTCACAAATCGACCAGGAATCAAGCCTATACCATTCGATTGAGCCGTAATCAGGGAATGAGGGCAGCGTTGCTGAACCTATTGGGGGCGAAATGTCGACAGAGAATATGTGTTTATCTGCTATGATATAGAGTCTAGTCGCACCCATGTGTAGGGGAACGTCACCGCGAAGCCTGGTTCTGAAAAGAGCACAAGCGATGCAATTACATGCTCAAGAACAAGTACAAGCTGTGTCCCATGCTATTAGGTCAAGATCTCACTCAATAATGTCAATAAACAAAAACACGCAACTCCTCCCCGCGCTCACACTCCCTCCGCCCCAAGCTTCTCCAACCAATTCTTTACGTAGAACCAAACTCTCTTTGAATCCACGGTCCTATCAATCCTCACAGACTCATACCGATGTCCCATCTCCCCAGCCATATGCTGGAAATGATAGTTGCCCATCACATTGTCTACCTGCAGCTCCACTATCACACCTTCTCCAGGGGGAAGGAAGAGGGAGAGACCGAGAGCGCCAGAGTGCGGGGAGAGGAGAATGTTGGTGTGACCTGTGTAGTGGATCTGGGTCTCGAGGGCGTGGACGGAAGGGTCGATCGCTGCGAAACGGATGGGGACCGGGTCCGTTGGGGAGAGGGTGGTCGAAGCCCACGTCTCGGGGGTGTCTCGAGCGTCTTCAAAAACACAACCGGCTTCCCCAAACATCGCAGCCGACTCGCTGCCTTTTTCGCACATAGACTTTATACCCTCTCGGAGTGTAGAGATGAACTCTTTCTCGTTGTTGATATGCCGAACATCTCGCCATGATGACCAGTCGTTGTGGCTCTGAGCGTAACGGTCCAGCTTTTCACGAGAAAGCCAAAGGAGGTTGATGGGTTTGCGTTTATCCGTTTTCTCCTCTGCGGCAGAAGCGGAGAGCGATGGAGGTAAAAGACCAAAGAGGTGGCGGTAATAATGTGATGCGGCCCACGTGATGGTTGAAGCGCAAGTGTAGCTAGGCAGCGTCAGTTTGAGTAACACCTAGACTTGAAGGAACATACGAAGAGCCCACACCCATCGCGGAAAGCAAAGAAGCACCAGCACCAACACTATGAATCGCGTTCGTCACTGCAAATATATCAGTACAACTGCTTTAAAGATTCAGAGAAGACTCACAGCACTCTCCCTCATTCCACGGATCAAGTCTCAACCTTCTCGGTGCCCACGCTCCTATCCGATCCCACAGAGGCGTAAAGTGGTTTCGGTCCATGTCAAAGTTGTCGGTAAAAACCAACTGCATGCGTGTGTTGATGAGATGGGGCGCCGTGCGGGCGGAGATGAAGAGTGAGACAAGGGTGGTGATGAGGTCCTCAGAGACGTGGAAGCTACGATCTCGTGAGCATGGCTCATGACTCTTGTGAAGCAGAGCTTACGGGTTCCATTGATCTTGTCTCGGGATGAGAACCATAGTGTGCTCAATCCTTTCTTTACAGTCGCCTCTCTCGTCGTCCATATCGAGCGACTCTGCTGATGTCCCGATAAACTTTTCTCGTCCCATCTCGTTGTTCAAGTCCTGCCCATCGTTCGTCACTTTACAGCCTACCGCCCGGTACTTTTTCTCTTCCCCGATGACCGTGCGCATGTTGGTGGAGACACATGGCGCTGCAGGGTACGGCCACCACTTGGTAAAGCTGTCACGGTGTACAGGCGAGCACACAATCCTCGTCGCCTCGACTTTTTCGCCCGCCTCAACCTCCCACGCAGTCATGTTGTTGTCTATCAGGTCGAGCCCCATTTTGCCCGGAGGTATGCAGTAGTCGAGCTGACTGCGATGATAACCCTCTACAAGCCCCTTCCCCAGCTGGTCTGAACACGTATTCAGGCCTCTCTCTTCGACCTCTTTCTGAGCCAGCTCCCAGAATGCCAGCATTGTTCTCAGCGGGAACGCGTCCCTGAAGAACGTCCCCGGCTGCCCAGCATCTGGATCGAGTTGTGCTAGCAGATCGGACGCTGCCGTGCTTTGCTCGGCGTACACCTTGTCGTCCTCTGTCCACCCGATGCTTTGCCACTGCTCCCGGAAGTTTTTTGCATACCGGGAGGAAGGGAACGCGCCGACGAAGACGTAGTGAAAGACGACGAGGCCGCCGACGGCATAGAGGGTATATTTGAGGACAAGGGAGGGGGTGACGCGGTGTTTTGTGGGGCGGAGGGTATAGGGAGGGCCTATGTGCTGCACGGGAGGATAGGTGGTGGGGAGGTCGGAGGGGTCATCGCGGGGGACTTGGTGGTATGACATGGCGGCTGTTGTTGTCGTTATTGCATTATTGAAATTATAAGGTTGAGGTGAAGAGAGAACCACGGAATTGACAGTCGCTGCTGGGGAAAAAAGACGAAAAAGGAAGAAGCGAGGCTGCGGATGGCCGAGCTTCATTCATGCGCATTTCGCGGGAAAGCCTCAGCATCGAGCAACTACGGATCGATGGATCGCATCCCTTCTGGGGTATCGAATGGATAGAGAGCCGAGAGACGCGAAGTCGTGCCCCAAGCACAATGTGCTCGCACAGTACGCAGGAAAGGCATTGCCCGCTCAAGCCACTTGTTGTTGCACACAGCGATCCGAGACCGAGTACTTTGGATGTGTAACGTTGATAATGCTATCCGTGTCACCACTCGGTTGCCAATACTTCTGAAGTCCGTGTGCTTCGAATGTGCGATGTGCGTATCCGTAGTCATTATTTCATGATTAACTTCTCACTATTCTACGCCTGACCAGCAGCCCTGTTCTTCCTCCTCTCTCGCTTCTCTCTGACCTTCTGCCCCTTGTTCTCGCTGACGAACGCCTTGGTGAACGATGTGTCCACAAAGTGAATATCGCCAACAGTCACCCCTTCCACATCCACGTGATCCTTCTTCGCCTTGGCCGCCTTGAGCTCCTCTCTCTCCTTTCTCTTGATACTCTCCTCGACAGCAGGGGTGGGAAACAGGGATGAGGACTGCACCTCCTTCTGGAGGACCTCGTGGACGATACCCTCGTGACCAGGCTGTTGCTTGACCTCCGCCTCCTTCGCCGCCAGTAAACGACGATCTTCAAGAGCCTTCTCTTCATCTCGCCATTCCCATGCCGTCCGCTCAATACCGGGCTGGGCACTCTCACGAGAACGGTCACCAAAAGCGCCCTCTTGACCGACACCCGATTCGAACCGTTGTTCTTCCAGGCGTTCGGCAGAAACGGAGGGATGTGATTCGTAGGCCATGTCGATGTCTCGAGCGATAGCGACGTCGTACTTTTTGGTGCGGGGGTTTATGGGCGTGCGGACACCTAACAGAGGCTCCATACCCTCCAAGAAAGCGCGTTGTAGGGGAAGAGACTGTAGAAGTGTCAGCCAAAAATACTAGAAGAATTGACGCAAGCGTGATAAAAAGGTTCAGCAGGTAAAGCGTAAGTAGGAACCATGTAGTTGTCTTAAAGACTAATCGTTCAACATCATAGTAAAGAAGAGTGAAAAAAGACAAGGAGAGGTGGCTTACCTGTTATTCGTGGCAGCGACAACAGAAGAACGCACAATCGTCAGCGTAGGTTCTTTCGCGGTTGTCAAGATGCACAGGAAGAATAGATTTCAGAAAGTGAAGAAAATAGATGGTAACCATGGGAATTAGTCTTCAGAACGAAGGTTATGTCATATTTTTTCTCATCAGGGGTAAAAAGTAGAAAGCGGTGGGACAAATTGATACGATGACTCACTCTTCGCTGGAACTCCATCTCAATCTCCTTGAGCTTTCTCACCGCATCAACTCTGCTTTTGGACACGTTGAACTTTGTCGAGACCTCGGCAACGTCGGCACCTCGTACCAAGTCGGCATAGATGGCGTCTTGGGTATAGTTGGACAATGGCGGTGGAGGTCGGAAAGAAGGATTGCTGGTGTACGGCTGCTCAATTGTTAGCTCCTGACATACATCGGGATATGATAGCACCCACGACATGTCCACCAAGCCACTTGGCCTTCTGCCCCTTCTGCGGCACCCTGTACTGTCGTCCTTCGACTCTCATCCAATCTTGGTAAAAGATCCGACCTTCCCTCTTCTGAAGCCCTGCCGGCAGTTGAGGGGAAGGGTCGAGCTTCAATTGCGAGAGCTCGTCCGCCGGCTCGGCAGATTCTTCCTGAGCCTCAGAGGCATATCCCCTAGTCGCAGCACGTCGGCATACTGTCTGGGTGGCCTGGATGGGGATGCGGGATGGTCCAGCGACGGCTGATCTGGAAATAAACATGATGGAAAGAGCAAGAAGGTGAAAGTTGAGAGATGTTCAAAGCCCTCCAAGTTTCTTTACCAGGCTCACGGAAATTTACGGGGTTATAACGCGTGGCGGAATTCTATTCATCTCTTGCATTTGCCCGACTTTTCGATATTGTTGCATACGCATCACAAAGCGAGCACATCACCCACCCACCTACACCACCACTTCTCCCCCACACCACACCACCAAACATGTCTCGATTAGGCTCCCTGCCGGCCAACCTCTGCGCCCACCTCCAAAACACCTCGCGCGCATTCCACCCTCGCACAGCCGTCCCCTACACCTCCTCCTCCCTTGCCATCTCCTCCATCCTCCTCCGCTCTGGACTGGTTTCCAACGTATCTTTGGGCTCCCCAGAAGGCCCCGATCCCAAAAACTTTGAGGCTTTGCCCGTACCAGCAAAGAAGCTTTGGATAGGGCTGAAGCACCGGGATGGGCAACCGGTCTTGAGGAGGATGGGCTTGGTGTCAAAGTCGTCATTCAGAGTGGTAGTCTCGAGGGAAGAGCTGGGAAGATTATTGGTGGGAAAGAGAGCGAGGAATGTGCCGGGTGTGGGCTTGGGAGAGATCTTGATAGTCAGGACGGCAGAGGACAAGAGGGAAGGCAGGACTGGCGTAAACAGATATATGGAAGGCTGGGAAGCATGGAGAGCTGGTCTTGGAGGAGAAGTGCTTTGTCGCGTGGCTTAGAGAAGCAGAGATTAGATTACGACATGACATGTTGATTATATACAACTAATTGATACAAGGTTTCCCGCAAGAAGGGTGACAAAGATACTGATGGCCGATTATAAATTGATAGCGAGTCACTTGTCTTTGAACATCTTTTCAGCTTCCCTCCTGACCTCTTGGAGCCGCTCCAAGTGCACCTTTTCACTCTGCTTCGCCTCAGCCGCTGCCTCCGCGGCCCCTTCCTGCCTGTAGAATTCTGCGCTCGTCAGCCGCGTAGCTCTTAAATATCTGGACCAGCTCACCTTTCAGCCGCCTCGCGAACCACCAGCCCAACACGACCTGCCCCACCCCGTCTGGCCTGTCCTTGCCGCCCAGCATCTTTGCGATATCTTTCCCCGTCTCGAGCTGTCGTTGCATCCGCTGGCGACCTCCGTAATGATGGGTGCTTGTGGTGTACGCAAAGATGAGCAAACGAAGGATGTGGTTGTTTGCCTTCTGGCTGATCTCATAAGCTGTCGAAAGCTTCTTCCTGTGCCATCCGTCAACTGCGTATTCTTTCTCAAAAATCAAACTTACTTGGAGTTGACCCTGTTGTCATCTGTCATGCTCGCCAGGAACTGTCCGGCCGCACTGAATGTCGCACTGGTACTCCCTTTACACTTCTCTGCTAGCCCATTGACCTCATCTTGCACCTTGAGATCCTTCATTAAACCTTCCAGCTTGCTGCGCGCCCCCAGTATACCAATCTCAGCAATGAGAGACAATTCGCTGCCGGTATTGATGAGGGCTTTGCAGGCGGTGTAGTAACGGGTGGCGGTCTCGGTGAGACCAAGCAGATGGGCGTGTTGGGCGAACAGCAGACAGAGCTGAGGGGAAAGGGGAGCGAATATGTCATTTTTTTGCAGATAGTCGACCGTTTCGTATAGAAGCTGTTTTCCATAAGAACTTTTGTACAGGCAAAGTCAGGTGGACTTACACTGAGGCTCTCCTTGAAGCTCCCTCGGTACATGAGCGCTGTAGCTTGCTCAAGTGACACTTCTGCCCTGATTGAGGCAACCTTTCTTTGCAGCGCTACGACGTCTGCCAGCCCATGACAGCCAGAGACTGCAGTCCGATCAGCTTTGCTCGACAGATCAAGAGAAGAAGCTCACATCCAATATCCCACATATCCTCGGCTCTCGCAACGTGCTCTGTCTCCTTGAAGACCTTTGCATGGACGAGCGTACGGCAAGAGGCAATTGATCCTGTGAACTCGCGGCGCGTGACAACCGTCGTCAGGTATGTGAGCATGTAAGTGATGTTGGGCGGAGTGAGTTGCATCAGGAGGGGTTGAGAGTTCGGAAGTGGTAGCTGCTCGTCCGTTAGCAATGCTAAAGCCGCTGAGATAGAAACACGAACCATGAAAACTCCTCCGCTTGCCCGGAGAGCGTTGAAAGTGCCCTTGTCACTCGACATATCCATCAAAGCGTAGACCTGCTTCAACACCGCCTTGGTGACGGCATCATCTCCCCTTCTGCCCTCCCACAAAGCTTTCAATGTCAAGTAGTGCACATGCATTGACGCCAGCCAACTCTGCTCTAGTTCCGATGCTCCAGGGAGCAAGTCGGCTGGGACAGAGGTATGATCAGAGAAGGGCGAGTTGAGAGCGCCAGCCAAGGCGACCAAAGTGGAAGGGACGAGCTCCCATCGGCGATGGACGAAAGCTATTCTGGCTTTGAGGAGTGATGCAAGCTGTACAATTTCCTGATGCTTGTTGCGTTCGGCTTCATTCTGCAAAGAGATTCAGCCTAGCTCGAGAGCCCTAGTCAAGGACGTACCAGGAATTCAGTCACGATGTTGAGGTATTCGCCAGGCCCAGTGGTCTCAATGTGCTCGAGGTGGAGCAAGTAAAGGCCATAACGATGACAATGGTCATTCCTTAAGATCGACATTAGCTCAGATGGTGGCACTGTTGTTGTTTGACTCACTTGCACGCAGCCAGACCATTCCTGACTAATCTCTTACCGAGGTTGAACTTGCCCTGCATGAACGCCAGTCTGGCATTCAGAAGCTCCAACTGCAGTTTCAGAAGAGCCAGCGAGGATTGGCGCTCAGCGACTAAAGACTGCTCTGTCTCAACAAGATATCATGCGGCATTGCGACTGACTCACAGCCTGACCGACAAACTCTTGCATCTCGTCCATCAACCTTCCACTCTCATTCTTCCCTCTTTCCTTGCCCGTTATCGAGCACGATTGCCATGCGCTCCACACTTTCACCCCCACCAATCCAAATTCGAGCGCAAACACGACCTTTTCCCGGTCCGACAACTCGTTGCTTTTCAACCCCGCCCGGAGTAGGTCCAACGCCAAAAGCAGATATCCGAGAGCTTTTTGTCGAGCCTGAGAGTCATGGGTGTACCGAGGTAATGGAGTTGCTTGAGGTGCGGGAGGCATCATGGGTGGAGAAGGGGGATAGAGTCTGGCTATGGGATAACCTGACTTCCGATCGGCACTGATGTACGGCGGGATGAAGGATTGTTGTAGATGTGTTTGGGATTCAGCATGGGCTGACTGGGCGTAGCTGTACAGCAACGCTGGTGTTGATATGACCGGATTCAAGGGAGAAGATTGCTTCGATGGCTGTTGGTGGGGAGGCTGGAAGAACTCTGCAGCGGTAATGGGCGTAGGTATACCTTGCACCCCACCAGTATTTTCATACAGAGTGGGTGATATTTTCCGTCGCTTGAGCGAGCCGTCTACGCCGACAAGACCCGCATCGCTTGATAAGCCTATGGGGTACGGCCGACGCATGGAATCGGGATGTTGAGTGATCCCGTGGGCGGGGGATGAGGCAACGATGGTGTCGCTGGATGCTGGAAGGACGACCGGGGAGGGGTACAGAGGGTACTGGGGATGGTGGATAGGCCGAGGATATCCTTGCGACATGGAAAGGGCGGGTGGAAAGAATTGTAAAGACAAGAGAAGAACACAGTCGAGATGGTGAGTGAAAGTGGCAGCAAGAAGTCAAAAACAACAACAGGCAGCGGCAGGCCGCCGGCAGCAACCGCATGGGCCAAACGCGTGACGCGCGGCGGCTGCCGACGGGCTGATAGCTAGGCCTATGAGGGATGCATACAAATACATACATGGGTATGCATTGCTGCTCTTACAATGCGCTTCCTCTAGCTGATTGCATGCATATCAAAAACACCCCGATCAGTGCAACTTCTGCTCCGTCAACGCGTCTTTGGCCTTTGCGTGGAACGTGCCTGGGTATTTGATGCCGTTCCACCTCGACACTTAGCGCGGCTATGAAGCGAGAACTCTCGCACCAGTCATCCCACCTGGGGCACATCGCAGCCACAATGAACACCAACCAGCTCGGCTCCATGTTCTCCACCAGGCTCTCCTCCGCCTACAACCAGCTCAGAGGAGACCTCGGCGCCCCACAGACCGCGACAGAGACCATCGAGAAGCTCGTCGACAGGATCCAGACCAGCGCAGCCGTCGAAGATAGGCGGACGGCTGTATTGGGGCTCAAGGGGCTCAGCAGGGACTGGAAAGAGGTAAGAACATCGCGCGGATATCAGGTGTAGAGCTGACATATCGCAGGATGTCGGGCGCAATGCCTTGCCGTCTTTGATTGCGGTCCTGGAGCATGATGCTCCCTTCGATGTCGAGATTGCAAAGGCTACTCTCGAAACGCTGATGCAGCTGTGCGAAACTGCTGAGAAGCCGGCGAAAGATGACCTTGGGCTATTCTTCACCGATGCCTTCCTCGAAGTAAGCGCTTGCTCGACTGCGAGAACCAAACTGACCTTCAAGCAGGACCCCAAACCCGCCCATACTCTGATCAATCTTATCTCGTCCTCTAGTTCATTTTACCCACGATTCCTCTCAATCCAATTTCTGTCCCAGCTCCTCGCTTCTCGCTCCCAAGTCGCGCAATCCTACATCATGTCTGCCCCACCTCCTGGGATTGACGGCATCCTGGCAGTACTCGACACTTCCACGGGACCGACCATGGCTGGGGGCGCCAGCGAGATGCTGCGAAACGAGGCACTGTTGCTCTTCCCTGCAATGCTGAGCGGCAACCAGGATCTTCAAAAGATCGTGGCATTCTCGGGCGCCTTTGAGAAGTTGTTCCAGATCATTGATTCTGAGGGAGGCGTTGATGGCGGTATCGTTGTGCAAGATGCCTTGGCGGCTGTCGGCTATCTCTTGCGATTCAATGTGTCAAATCAGGTGAGCACGATTGTAAGGGTATTGTGATGGTGCTCATCATCACTAGAACTACTTCCGAGAGCTTACCCTCATTCCCCAAATCCCTCACATCTTGGGCTTCCCATCACCGTTAGGGAAGGATGAAGCGACGCCGGAAGAGTTTGCTCTGCAATATTGGCCTGATCAGAAGGTTGACAACACCAGCTTGGTGCTTGGTCTCGTCAGGATGCTCGTCGGAGGCCCTGGTGGAGGCAACCAAGTACGTCCCTCTACTTCATTCAGGATTTAACTAACATACATTAGAACGCCATGGTAGCCAGCGGTGTGACTCGATGCCTGCTCGAGCTCTCTCTTGCTTCCAACGCTCCCGCTTCCATCAAATCACAATGCCTCTCTACTCTCACGCCCATCCTCACCTCGTCTCCCATCAACCAGGATCTCCTCGCTTCTCTCCAGGTGTCACCCCTCTTGGCTATCCCTGCCGATGAAGTCAACCCCAACGGCGGCTTCGTCCGCGTACCTCCAAAGCCTGCTGTCGTGGCGCTTGTGGAGAGCGTCGTCGAGGGTGATCCCTCCTCCGGGGGCAGAAGCCTAAGGTCGAGGTCTGCAGGCGTCAATATGTTTGAGGCATACTTGTCAGGCAACGACGATGCCCGAATCGGGCTCTTGTCATCTCTTCTCGACCCAACTGCCGACGGTCAATCCCCAGACCAACCCTCAGCAAGTTCCCTTATCCTCACCGGCCTCCTTGAGCTCCCGCACGCCTCCCTCTCCCCAGAGTTCGACCCCTACCGGCCGTTGTTCTCTTGTCTT